AAATATTCTCTGTAGAGCTTGCAGCAATTAAAGAAGTTTCTAATATAGACAACTCCACTAATTTGACAACACAAAGAGGTGATAACCAAATGGCTATTGAGGGAGAACATCAGGCTGTCACACTAACCCCAGAGTACAGCCTTGTAAAGTCCTTTACTCTCTGTAGTCCCAGCTTTTCTTCAGGACAATACTGGGGTCAGGCTACTCTGCACATCAAATGTACAGGTCAAACTGATTCAAGAATCAAATGGAGAGGCCAAACAGGGGCACACATCAGACGAGGAGGCTGGACTGGGCCACACACTAGACACATTTAATCTGAGTCTAACACACAGACACACGCAGCCAATCAGCTCTCACCTCTGGCAGCCCGAGTGCTCCCGCTCATCACCATGCTTCGTTTTCTTGCGTCTTCTCAGGGACAATCTTCTTAGGCCACAATAGCGTGGTGGATTCCTTTAAGCCACAATGCAGTGGTGCTGCAGCATGGACAATCCTGTCCAGCTACAAAGCACAACATTCTCTGCTGCTCAGCTTAAATTAGCTGTGCTCTGATACATTTCAATACAGCTTCAGCCAGGCTCCAGCAAAATTTAAATATGGCTCAAAACATCTCAATTCAAGCTCACTGGCTCTGAATGCACCTTCAATATGCCGTCCCTACATTTCAGTACGGCTCAGTACTTCTCAATGCAGCTGAAACAGGTCTAAATACAGACTCGGGGCAGGCCCATAAGCTCATGTGGACTACCTGGACCCCCGGCCTGGTGGGCCCAGGACACAGGAGCTGCAGATGAATGAGTGACAGAATGGAGGGGATTCCAGTGGGGATGCTCAGTCAAGAGTTCAGCTTGACTCATAACAGACATGCTTCAGGCTGATTGAACAAGCTCAATACATGTCAGCACTGGCTAAATAAAGTATATTCATTCACAAATAAAGGAGACTGCCCTGAATCAACATTTAGTCACAAATAAAGAGGGACGGGTAACAGCTGTCTGATGAGACAAGCATCTTCAGCTAAAGCTTTAGGGTGGAAATCTCTGGTTGTTCAAATAATCTTCAGTCTTTTAGGTATAATGTAAATAAACAACATCTGTTGAACAAACACTAAAACACTAAAAATTCACTGTAGTAATGACTTGACTTGTAACTGTCATGCCATATCCATACCCAGGTTACTGGTTCCTTTACTCTTGAAGGCCTCCTGCTTTTTTTAGGTGTACAGGAGACAGACTGGACCTCCAGTACAAAGTCACAGCAAATAAAGATATTAAGAGTGTTCCTTCACTTCACATGTTTATAAAATTTCAGTGACAGAAAAATTGCATTTTTAGTGATCATCATAAACGTTTTAAGCAGTGAATGTTCATTCACAAATTGCTTCTCACTTCATTAGTGAGATGGAAACATCAACCGAATGATAGGGGATTTACAAATGAGGAAGAAATGAAGATTAAAATTCCACAAATCAGTTTAGGTATTTCTTTTAATTAAAGTTTGGTGAAGGGGACAGTCAAAATGCATGATTTGACTTTGTTGACAATGACTTTGTAAAAAGATCATTATTAGAAAAAGGAATGGCAGTGGTCAGAGAAGTTGGTATTCAGGCAAGGGGCTGAGACATTATGGAACTGGATTTAAGAGTTATGTTTGGTCATCTGAGTGAGTGAAAAGCTCCGTAAACATGCTTTAAGTGCCCAAACAAACACTTGTGCACCACATATCTAGTTCTGTGAAGATGACTATTTGTGATTGTTAAGAATAAAGTGTAGGAGCCTCTTTAGCACCAGCACCACTGGGAGTGGGGGAGGCGCATGGGTCATGGTGGGTCACAGAGTAGGGGGTCTCAATGGGGTACAAGCTTCTGGGGGGCAAACAGAACTGGGAAAATTAACTGAGAGGTATTTTGATGCCATTGTTGTATAATCACAAGTAGTGTATTTATTATGTGCTGTTCAGTAATTGTAATTTTTATATGGCTACACACAAAGGAGCTTGGGTTTGTTTTAAAAACTGAATTTGTGCCACAGTGTACACCTGCCAGTCGCTGTAAAATTATCTGGTGATGTTCACATGAACATTTATTGTATAAAGATTTCTAAAATAAAAGCACTACAGCTGAACAGGTCTCAGGTCACATGTGCTGGCAGTGCAGTTGAATTCAGTACAGTCTTATGTTATCAAGTTATCCAAAGGTCACAAATTATTTTTGAGGCCAGGGGTTGGCTGAAAGATCCAAAAACCCTATAAAATATAACAAGCTAACCACTCGCTAATGAGATAATAAGGCCTGCAGATCTCTGGGGTAGCTACATGCAATTAGGAAACACTCTAAGGACCTGACTTCTCTTTTAACAAGGTGGTCACCGGAGGAGAGGTGTCAACAGCCCAGCATCTGATGATAGGCTGCGTCAACAAGAAGTACAATGTAGTACTGAAATAATGCTCGCAAATCAATTTTGCCAGTATACTGTGGTGGAACCTAGTCTAGCAGAACAATTTTCCTAAAAGTACACGTACTCCAGTTACAATAACATTTTTTGCAAATAAAGATTTGGTTTATAATGCACTTTTTAAACTAAAAGAACACTGAGATATGAACTGCTGAACTAATAAACATATCTCATATATTACAGAACACATTTGTATTTCCTTCTGCCTATATTGTATAGTGTGATATAGTGTGTATAGTATTGTATAGTGTGTATAGTGCAACTTTTCTGGTGGAGGGTCCGCTACCTTCTTGTCTCAACTGAGATGTTATTGCTTTGTCTGGAATATTCCACGGTATGGCTTTAAAAATTTATATCTAGCATGTGTGCATTACGCGTGTTTCTATTGCTCAAAAATACAATAATTCTTTCTGTGAACAGGGGCGACTCCACAGATCTGAATTGAAATTAAATGTAGTGTTGTGCCTTAACCTGCTGGTCTCCTTCATGATAGATAAGTTTAATCAAGACTGTGGAACATTCTAGACAAGGCAAAAACATTTCTGTGGAGACAAGCAGGTGGCAGACCACTGTGAAACTTCAGGGGTACACCACATGCTGGTCTCCATGGAGATGTTGTTGTTTTGCTTCAAATATTCCATCATATAGCATTAACAATAACTATCTTGCATAGACTCAATGACAGGTGTTTTTACTGTTAAAACAATATCTTGAAAAACATGCTTTTTTTCTGTGAATGGGAGTGCCACTGCACAGATCTGATCTGTAACTTGGCCTTGTAGTATTGCCTGCTTGTCTTTAAGAAGTTAGTAAAGTTTACATTCCAGATAAAGCACAGAGACAGACACTCCACTAGAAAAGTTACATAGTGCTTAGGATTATCAAATTGAGAGTACTTAATTAAAAGAACACACAGAGAAAGCAATTTGTACAGCACTGTGATCCAAATAGACCAAAATAACCACTCAGTTTTACTCTAATAATATAATGCACTACAAATAAAAATGTTTGAATCAATAGTTGAATCATAAAGGCTCCATTTTGTGTAATTACTGTTGATGAGGAGGTTTTAAACGCGTGTTGGAGGGACAGGTGGGGCTGGGGCGGGCATGGAGAAAGGGATCTAAAGCATTCTAATTACAGGTAGTGTGTTGGTGAGAGCGATTTTGTGTCCCAGCATGTCTCTTGTCTGTGCCTTCAATATTCGAGCAACCCCTTATTTGAGCATCAGCTGTCACTCCCCACTATGCACCCCTCCTCTGTCTCCCCCTCTCACTCTCTCCATCAAATCAGGCTGCCCAAAATCACCATGGAGGTAAAGTCATTAGCACAAGACACAAGTGAGTCATACCTCATCTTAACTGTCAAACTCCCAACTTCTCAGGTGAAGACTTGAAGATGGGCCAGTGTGGGGTGAATAGATGGAGACGGTCTTCTCTCTGCGCCTCTGTCAGCTGTGACCTTTGAAGCCTGAGTGACCACAGAAAGCAGAGTCATTACCAGTCTTTATCCCTTTGTGCGTCTTGTCACATCCCCGCAGAGAGGACAATAGCTCTGTCATTTACAACACTGTGTCTGAAGCTAAGGGTTGGGACCCCCAGTGGGTCACCAGATAATTTTACAGGGTCGCACAATGTGTTTCTTTTTACTATACAAATGAACTGCAATGTGCTTTAGAATGTTGCAGGGATACTTAAGTTTGATTTTCACAGCAGATCCTTGCACATGTTCTAGAGTTAAAAGTTTAAATCAACAAATATGTTAATTTAGATACAGTATGTGGGTGATTATTCTCATTTTTGTTTTTGAAGAATTAATTACTTGAATATTAATTTGTTTTATATATAGTCACTCACAACAGGAATATGTCTTGGAATAGATACAAAAATTGAGTAGCGTATTTTCCTTTTGTGTTTTATCTTATCCATAGGTTTTTGAATAATGAAAAAAGAGCAATTGCAATTACCAATTTTAAAAGAAAATAAGCCCTCAAAATGTTACATAAAACAGGAAGTTGAACCCCTTGAACACTGAATTATATATTTTTTAATCTGTGAGTATCACAGTGGACACCTGTTAATGGTCCCATACCCTAGTCTGAACCGCAGTAGTAGTAGCAGTAGTAGCGGTTCACTTCAGAACTGCAAAGCGCAGAAGCAGAGACATGTTTGAACATGCAGCAAAACCCCAGAGTTTTGTGAAGGCCCTGATCCAAGCCTCACTTCTCCTCAGAGGAATCTCCATGGTGATTTCAGCCCCACTCCTGACAGCTCACGTTCATTACTGTCCCTGCAACTGTCTTTACAAAAACGCAAATAAAAATGTGAATAAAAAAGAATGGCATTATACTGTAGGTATTATTCATCTTAGACTACATTTCTAAAATGACAATTTTTGAACAATAGTTCACTGATTATTTTATGTCAGCTATAGAGGAAAAAAAAGAAGAAACTGAGGTAAAATGGAAAATGGCGAGATTAATTTGAAATACAGAAAAATGTCCAAAATGCTTTTTTTTAATGTTGAACACATTGAACTCAAGTGTGAAATTGGGTTTTTAATGTTGTCATCCCATTTTTCTGACAAATACATAAAAAAAAAAAAAAAAAAAAAACTTTGTGTACTGTTTTCATTCATAAAAAATCTTTACTTATATCATTATACTTAATTATACATGAAAATATATAAACAACTTTGGATGAAGTTCCATTTATTATTATAGAAGAAAATTACTGTCGGTCATTGGCAGTAAAGGTTCATTTGCCAAACGGATTGTGCATTACTCCCTTCAACACATGTAAACTTTTTAAATATTGTTAAGAAAATATAAGTTATAAACCATAACTTTAAAACACTGAAATTAGTGTAGAAAAGGTCCTGTCAGCTCTGAGGTAGATTTGTCCATGTGACATAAACACTTAAAGAGCATGTATCACAGCACACAATCACTCCTTTGCTCTGTCCTCTGGTCGTCTGCTCTTCTTCTTGTGATGATGATCTCAGAGTCTCCTCCTGAACCTCCTCTTCGTCAATGATAAAAGCCCCTCCACAGCGACAGCAATGTGTGTATAAGCGCTCATCTGAAAACACATAAAAGAATGGGCCTTTAAAATATATAGATCAATTTGTATCAACTGACATGATAAACTCTTACTTTGAATTCATTGTTTAAAATATTACTATACTAAATGCATTGATGCTTCTTATTGCTATCTACTAATTTTGTGTTAAGACAAAGAATTAGGTCTTGAACTTGTATTTACAAAAAATGTTTTCTGTAATGATCTACATCTTGTTAAGTTATAATATAGTACACAAAACAGTATATGGTAGAGATAATAGTACAGTACAGATAACACTTTTGACCTATTTCAAATGACATAATATTAACAGCTAAAAAACAAATAGCACAAATAAATAATTATAAAAAATACATATAAATGTAGAGGCGCATAAATGCATTTAATCTGTGAATTCAATTGCACAGACCATTATTCCATATCATGTCCTCCAAGAAAACAGTTGAATCCACAGGCCAGTCCTGCTTTAGGTCATGAGCTGAAAAGACAAATTAAGTTAATTGAAAAGTGCAGTACTTTTGTATGGCATGGGAATTAATGCTTACACACAACATTTATTCTGTAGTTTAGTCTGAGGTTAATTCAATGTCAAGATACTTTCTTTCACTTTCCATTCTTTCTTTCCATTCTTTCTTTCTTTCTTTACTACTTTACAATATGTAGGCAGAATACAGCAGCATTCAGTGGTACATTGTTAATGTCATTTATGTTATTCACAGCCTCCAGATCAGTGTTTAAAGTGTGTGTAGTTACAAGTATCACAAACGTGCACAATACGCATACATACTTTGTAACAGGTGATGTTCTATGTAATAGGTAAGCACCCTCAGACCCCTATTTTCTCAAAGAGTGTAAAATAAATGTAAGTGTAATGTCCCATAAGTCAGCAGGTATTAATCTACAATTTCCCACCAACCACTCAACACTCTCCTCCACTGACCCAGAGAAAACTCAACTCCACACGACTACACGAAACAAGTGCGCCCTCTGGTGGACTCCTCGACATGCACCATGCAGTTCAATCTGGTAGAACTATGAAATCAAGGTAAAGACAATTAAATCTTTATATTGTTTGAAAATCGTACCTCTTCTTAGCAGATCATAATCTCTTCTCTTATTTTCATCGCTCAAAATTTTCCAGGCAGCATCAACTTCAAGAAACCTCTTCAAACCCATCTCTGCCTCAGATGAACTATGTCCACTGAGACGATCGGGATGACACTGCATGTGCAAAAGAGAACAGTGATGAACACACTGCTTAATCCCATGCTTTTTATAGATGAGTAAACTACAGGCCAAATGCGCTGTATACATGATAAGATTCCAGGATAAGATATTTAGGTCTCTGAAGAGGGTGTATGTTATTTGAATAATTAAGAGCAGTCTTCAGTTTTCTAATTACAAACTCTGCAATAATTATATTGATTTGATTGAGCTAAATTTTACAGTCCTGATGTGTAAACGTAAAAATGTTCAGAATCAGGACAACTCCTATACCTTCAGGACCAATTGCTGATAGCGATGTCTTAACTCCTCTGTGGACTCTGATGGATTGGCTCCTAACACTGCATAAAGATCCTTTTCACAAGATGATGCACACATGTCTGCTGCAAAAACAAACCACATCAGGTGTTAGAAGAACTATTCGTCTCACTGTTAACAACCTAACAGCATGAACATTGTAAAATAAAGAGAAACAAACAACAAATACATTACTACTGGTTAAATGTAGATGAAAAGTTAGCACCAGAAACACACTGCACTAAACCATTGAGGAAAAACAGCACAGTCCTGAGAAAAGAGGCACATTTTATATCTACTGATAAACTGATGCATTTTTATCAAATATCACCTAACTCACACACCATGCTAACCTAGCCTAGGTCTGGTTATATGGTAGCCTGTGTCATCGTGTGTCAGCTTGTAAAACAGACGAGGAAATATTGGAATAGTCACACTTTGAGTCTTCTGAAAGATCGACTTAATCTGAAACTTGGTTTGTACCATGAGATCGGAGAGCTCCTCTCCTCTAGACCCATGTGTAAACACCACGGTCCGCGGATCCGCTCCTCTGCTCAGTGCGGCGGGTCAACGCGGCACCGTGAAGGCGCAGTACTGACCCCTGCTGGACTGGGGGACGGAGGCATGTGATCTTTGTGATTTACCCATAGACTGCAGTCTGTGGATTTACCGTTTGATTTTGCATTGCCAGCCGTTCATCTCTTTCAGCAGATACTACGATCTAGAGGTACGTATTCTGTCCAAAATGGTGCCAATAATCGCCTAATTGAATCGTCCACGAGCCTACAAAAAGCGCAGTTAGCGCAAAGATACAGTCTGTGACCACACGCTGGTCTGGCACCACTCAAGACTTGATCTGTTAATTGAAATGGGATCTGTAGATGAGGTGACACAGACACCTCTTTGACCCGACTTCCTGTGTCTGTCACCCATTTTTGTAAAGAAACCACACTGGGACTGTAGTGTGTGGGTATTTTAATGATTTCACTTTATTATAGCCTATTTTGATTATGGCCTTTAAACAAGCACATGCCTAAGCTGCCCGTGCTCTAGTCATAGAAATAGGCTATATATTATTTATTAAACAGATTAATGAAAGGCCATAATCAAAATAGGCTCTAATATTTACAGTGCAAATACACAGAAATACTACAATTTACTTACCTGATTCTTAACCTAAATTAACCCATATCTGATCAATAAATCATGTAACTGATCTAATATATACTCCCTATGAAGTAAAAGCTCACCATGATGTGAGTTCAGCCCCTACCATGTGATAAATACCCACCTCACCGATCTGGATTCTGAGTTTCATCAATCTATAGCTTTTATTTATTTATTTCTACAACAAACCAAATTTGTATTATTAGTTTGACAGGCATATTTGTAAGTGAGGAAGGACATAAATAGTGCGAATAAATCGTGTATGAAGTGTAAGCTCCTGCACACTCTCATCAGACACATCTTTAGTTAATTACAAAAGATGATTAAAATTAATTAATAAGCCAGGTACCATCACCTCATCTCTGAGAGAAAATCATTGACCCGAGTCAGTTTATGATTCACACTCACACACGCATATCCACTAACACACAAACAAGACAAACAGAACAGCTGTTCATTAGAGAGGTGTTAGTACAATAACAGCATCCGCCATTAAAAACAATTACATTTAAGTAATTCACTTATGCCTCACAGTAATTTTAGAGAGAGGTGGGCTAAGAAACTTATTCCAAATCATTTATTTCAAACCCAAAATCCAAATCTAGGTTTTAGAATTTCCATATTCATCTTCTCCTAGATAAAAGGTCCATATTATTGTCCATATTTTCTGATCTCTGTTATAATGTTGTTTCCTCATCACAAACGTACCTGGAGTTGTGTTTTGTTTCATTCACACATGTTTAACACATAAAACCTGCATATTTAGGCTGAGTTCTTCTCTCAAACAGAAAAAACACACTGTTTCACCTTGTGATGTCATGTGGTAAAACAGGAAGTACACCACTGTGTTTTTAAACTCCATACACCTTCACCATTCCATTTGTATGTTTTCAGCCCTGGAATTTCCTGTACTGAATTACAGGTAAAAGGTAGTTATTAACTTGAACTATATTGCTTCATGACATCACTAGGTGGAACAGAGCATTTTGAGTTTTGTGGATGTAGACAACCTAATAATGCAGGATTACTCAATTGCATGTGAAGGAAACAAAACACAACTCCAGTATGTTTTTGAAGAAGAAACAGCATTATAAAATGGTTAAAAGCTCACAAGAGTAACATGATAGGAATACAGGAATATAGCCGACCCTTCTCAGCTGCCTCAACTGAAGAGTGAGTAACTTAATATCTATCTTTAAAGGACCTTCAGAGGAAACTAATTTTGTTACAGCATGTGTCTGTGATCTTTTCAGCTCATTGCAGTGACCACATAACTTCAGGTTCTGCATACTGAGAACACTGTAGTCAGTCTCATCTGTATTGTTAAAGTAGTGGCTTAAACTGATCTGAAATATTCTTTGAACATACCTTTGTGAAAATGCATACCTGAAGTTTTACAGCTAATTACACTTTGTTCAACTTCAGTAGTCACACCATTTGTTTATACAAACTAAACAATTCAATTAAAGCTGTGATAAAGTAAAGTATATTTGACAGAGTAGCTAGTATCTAAAAATTCCCTCCCAGTTTGAACTCGGCGCCAGTGTTTTTTGTGGATCTGCTAATGAATCTTAATGCAGTGTTTGCGATCCCACACTATCAGGAGGGCCTCTGTGATGTGAATGTTGGAACTGCAGCAGACCCAATCATGCATGCGCTGATGTAATTGTATGTGTCTGTGTACTGATCCATACACTCCTTTAATTGTACGTGTGAAGTAAATCAAGTGAACAGGAAATTCATACCAACTCAACAGGAACAACTTAAGACAACAATAGAAAGACCGGGATGAACTATAACTAAATTTGGCAGTGCTGTCACACCCAAGCTGGTGTGTGCTTAATAGAATAGCATTTAAATGATCGTTTCTGTTCTGTTAATCTAGCCTGCTGTTATCAAAACTGAAGCAATTAAAGAAATGCTTGGAGCCGGGTAAATGGTCTTGGACAGTGCCCCGACTATTAAAACAAGAAACTGTCTCTTCTGGATGGTATGAGTGGTGATTTTCTGCTCACTTGCTTCATAATTGTATTGACTGAGGTGACTGCCTTGTTACAGATCTGTCACTGTTAAGAACGGTTGTAAATAAAGTTTGAGCCCAAGTTTGTAATTACTTGTCTGATGTGACCTGCAGAGGAACTGTGGAGATGGTCAGTTTGTATCTGATAGGTTTCTGAATCTCTTTTGATCACTCATCCAAAGTTTTGATTCACTAAAGGCAAGTAATGTGTGTCTTTTCTACTAGAACGCAAAATTGTATTGCAATAAAATAGATACGGATACCAATGAAAGTCTTACAGGGCGCATATTACGCTATTTACAGATTTATGTTATAATGTTTCCTCATCAAAAACGTACCCGTAATTGTGTTTGTTTCATTTACATATCTTTAACACACAAACCATGCATATTTAGTTTGAGTTCTTCTCTCAAACTGAAAACACTCTGTTCTACCTTGTGATGTCATGTGGTATTACAGGAAGTGCTCCTTTGTGTTTTAAAACCTCATACACCTTCACTAGAATCATTTGGACGATTTCAGCCCTGAAATTGCCAATCTCTACTGAACAAAAAGTAAAAGGTAGCTGTTAACCTGAAAAGTACCTGCACTTGACATAACAAGGTGGAACAGAGCATTTGGAGATGACTAAAAATAAAGGATTACTCAAACATATGTGAATGAGACAAAACACAACTCAAGGTAGAATGTTTTTAATGAGGTAACAATATTCTAATTGTAACATGGCTTAAACCTCACAAGAATCATTTTTGCGTAATATAGGACCTTTAAGTGGTCAATTGTGATTGGAGGGCTGCAGCGTCATCTAGAATGTAGGAGACAAATTCACATTCACTGCAAAAATTGTGTGTGTGTTTTTTTGTTATTTGTTTTTTTTTTTTTACTCAAATCTATCATTATTTTGGGAAAGTTTTGATTGATGTGATGTCTCTGGACCCGTTTGGCCTTTTATTAGCAAAGGAAGACAAAGCGTCATACTTGTAAAAGGCTCACACAAAGCTGAGGTGAAAATGAGAGCATCTGTTGCCAGTTTACACCCCCCACCCCTCTCTCCTCTCTCTCCCTCCTCACTCTCTTATAGGCCTCAAACACAAAGACTGGACCCTTTTCAAAAACGGATAAAACGAAACCAAAACGAGGATCCACGTGTGAGTGAACATTCTTGTGGTCATGAAATACACAAATTAGGCTATTAATATGATCAAAAATATTATATATTTTTTCTTTTATGCCAGTCAATCGCTTTCTGGCATGAACAGATCAAGATTAAAGCTCCTATATTTCACAAAATAAATTATTGGGAGTGTTAAACTGTGTTATAATGTTCCTCAAAAACATACCTCAAGTTGTGTTTTGTTTCATTCACACATTGAGTAATCCGTTATTATTAACCTGTCTACATCTCAAAATGCTCTGTTAAACCTTGTTATGTCATGAAGCTGTAGTTTTCAAATCAGCAGCTACCTTTTTCCTTTTGTTTAGATTGGCAATTCCAGGGCTGAAATGATCCAAATGATTCTAGTGAAGGGGTATGGAGTTTAAAAACACAACTGAGTACTTCCTATATTACCACATGACATCACAAGGTGGAGTGTTTTCAGCTCGGGAGAAGAACACAGCCTAAATATGCAGGTTTTGTGTGTTAAACATGGGTGAATGAAACGAAACACAACTCTAGGCATGTTTGCAATGAGGAAACAACATTATAATATAGATCACAAAATAATGTAATATAGGGCCTTTAATGGCTATAGTCCCCTGCATTTGACCCTTGTACATGCTATTTAAGTTCTAAGCAGCACATTGAACAAAAGTGGTGTGACAGTCTCTCTTCACTGTCAGAAAATATTCCTCATGGTTACTGAAGCAGACACACAACACCTTAAAATCTGTCACAAGTCTGTGCCACATGTACTGTACCGCAGCCACAGTTTCTTAAAGTGTAAATTTCATTTTGGTGTCTGCGTTCTGGTGAGAATATAATTTACACTTCATTAACTTGTGTGTGTGGAGACTGGCACAAAAGACACGTTATAAGACTTACCAGATAAAGTGTGTGACTGTGTTTTGAAATGGGGCTTGCTAATGACCCATAATGATGAATGGATAAAATGAGGACAAGGACAGTACACTAAAGATTGTACTGAGATTTAAAAAAAGGAGAAAAAAACACAGTAGTAAAAATACAAAAATATATATATATAATTAAAAAATGCAGATCCACGGATGTTAAGAACCTTGGCAAAATAATTAAAGGGCCCATGTTACACTATTTTGTGATCTATGTTTTATTGTTGTTTCCTTAAATGGACTTGTGTTTTGTTTCATTCACAATCCCTGTATATTTAGGCTGAGTTCTTCTCTCAAATAAATTCTCCAATCTACCTTGTTATATCATGTGGTAAATGGCTTTTCCGCCTTCAAGGCACTCAAAGCGCTTTACAACAAGGAACCAATCACCCATTCACACATTCACACACCAGTGTACGTAAACACTGGGGGCAAGGTGGGTTAAGTGTCTTGCCCAAGGACAATGACAGCATTCATCTGTGGGAGCTGGAATCACAGACCTGACTTCTCAACCAATGATGTTTTATGTCGGGAGCAGAATTCGAACTGCCAACTTTCATATCAGTGGACAATCACTCTACCAACTGAGCTACTGGCGCCCCTACAGGTGGTGGTATTACAGCTCCAATTTGTTTTTAAACTCCATTCACTTTCACCAGACTCATTTGGTTAAATTCATCTGTGGAACTGCCAATCTCTACTGAACAAAAAGTAAATGGTGGCTGTTAACTTGAAAACTACCGCTTGACATCACTAGGTGGAACAGAGGATTTTGAGCGCTGGAGATGTAGACAGACGAATAATACAGGTGTGAATGAAACAAAACACAACTCCAGGTATGTTTTTGATGAGGTAACATCATTGCTTAACAACAGGGTTTAAAGCTCACAATAGTCAGTTTTGTTTAATATAGGACCTTTAAATGCTCTAATATCTCCCTCAATTAAGATACTACTGAAGGTGGAGTTTAAAAACACAGTGGAACACTTCCTGTATTAGCACATGACATCACAAGGTGCAACAGAGTATTTTCAGTTTGTAAGAAGACCTCTGCCTAAATATGCAAGATTTGTGCATTAGACGTGAATGAAACAAAACACAACTCCTGGTTTGTTTGTGATGATGAAACAACATTATAACACAGATAAAAAAAAAAGCCTAACATGGACCTTTTAGTGAATGCTGTGTGACAATAGTTACAAAGTTTATTCTGATTGTACCAAAGATTTGAAGACCAAAAGCATTGAGTAATTGTGCTTGTGACAGCAAAGGTGTGAGTTCCAGTCTGTGTGATGTTGTATCGACCAGCGACTCAGACAGAGAGCTGACATTATGACCTGACATTGGAGCTAATCGAAAACTAATTCTCTCGCCCAATCATCATCTGGAGCTGTCTTCATCTTCATTCTGTCACATGTCTTCAGCTGTGATCTCTGTATAACAGCTATTATTTACCTAAAATTACACACCAGACTCAGGGAACATGTCAAAAGGTATAGACGCATCAGGACAACATCGCAGTATGAGCTGTAGCAGAGGTAATATAAGTCTGTCTGAATGCTTGGTTTTTGGGATGGATGAATTTTAAAGGTCCGATATTGGGCGACGTTGACTCTTGTGAGCTTTAAGTCATGTTGTAATGTTGTTACCTCATCAAAAACATACATGGAGTTTTGTGTTTGTGTGTTTGAGTAATCCATTATTATCTGTCTACATCTCCAAAGCTCTAAAAACTCAGCTCCACCTTGTGATGTCCTGAAATGGTAGTTTTCAAATTAACAGCGCCTTTTACCTTTTGTTCAGTATAAACTGGCAGTTCCAGGGCTGAAATTATCTAATGATTCTAGTGAAGGTGTATGGAATTTCTAAACACAGTGGAGCACTGTTCATCTTGCGAGAATGTTTTCAGTTTGAGAGAACAACTCCTAAATATTCAGATTTAATCAATGAATTTGAATCAAAACTCCAGGTCTGTTTGTGATGAGGAAAAAACATTATAACATAGATCAGAAAATAGAGTAATAGGCCTTTTAACTGATATTGTAATACACATTTGCAATAGATTAAAAATAAGCATTCCAGAGTTATAAAAGTAAGAGCTTTGCAATTAAAAAAAAAAAAAAAAAAAAAAAAACATTTTGTCAAACTTGGTGAACTCTTAAGTCAATTTGAGGTGACATCTATCTTTGTAAACATCCAATCATAAACTCTGCCTCTGTCGGGCCACGGTTTGACCCCTGTACATGCTCCTGGGGGATTGTGGGTAAAGTCTTTGTGCCCGGAGAGCACAGAGTGATTATGATGTCAATAAATGTGTTGATTCAGTGGCAAAGTGGGCTGTCCTTAGAAGGAGAAAAGGTATTGGGAGTCAGTGAAGCGCACAGAGAGAAGCCTGTAATCAGATCACTGTCGAGCCAACAATGAACAGTCAAAATGATGAGCAGAAATTACAGGTAAAGACCTCAACAAATAATACACTTTGAATGGCCAGATTTGAATTAATTTATATGAGTATTCTACAATGACAGAGCTGGACAAAGGTAATTATCTAAAACACCGTAGGTTTTTATTGTGTTTACAGGGGTCACAACTCAATAGTTGATTTTTCAACTGGATGCCCTTTTCCCTGTAACCCTCATTATTTATCCATGCTTAGGGCTGGCATAAAGAGACACCTTGTGGCTAGATATGTCTACAGACTTTTTTCCCCCTTTTAGACTGGTCCTCCACACAGGTTGTGTTGCCGACCGGTGCTTCACTTTCATTACTTGGGGTTTGGAGTAATTGGTTCAAAAAATCTATAGACTTTTCATCAGCACGAGAGAGGCCTTATGGCTTTTGATGGATTTCATCAGAAATTGTTTTACTTCAAAAGCTCGAGTCAATCTGGAACTCATGGGTTCAATTCATGTCACTTTGGCGGTCAGAGTAACGATAATGGTAGAAGTTGTGAGCAGTAGCAGTCCAGCCCTGTGAAGAAGTGGTTCTGGGCATGAAAACGTGAGTATTGTGTTTTATGTCTGGACCACAGACTGTATACATACTTTATAGAGTCTATTATCTGGACTATTATCTGGACCTGGTCTGATAAGCAGCAGTTGCTGTTTGTATATTCAGCCACAAGCTGGCACTGTGCTTCATACATATACAGGGTCAAGCAGTAAACAGATGAGTATATATTTTTACCGAGTACAAAACATGTAGTACAACTGCAAAGAACAATTTGTATTTCCTGAACAATTAGGAGCACACATTTTTAAGGAACATATTTTTTATTAGAGCATTACCCCAGATATAAGTAAAACTATAAAAAAAATAAAACATTTTATATTAAAAACACCACAGGCCAATATTAGACCCCTGCTTAGATCTGTCCAAAACCCTGGCATTGGAGAAGACAGTCAAAATCCTCTTATCACAGTGAAAATGCTGAATTTATATATAACCATTTATAAACTTACCTTTTGGCACTTAATGTCTTTTAAATTCATTAGGCCAGTGTTGTTGCAAGGGAATTGAATTGGCACTTGTGTTTTAGATGTGCAAATGGATAAATAATATATAATATACAGAATTAAATAGATAGTATTTAAAATAAAAGTACATGACTCAATAGAAAACCATTTAGTTACAGCACTGGCCCTAAAGCTCTGACAACAAAAACAGACCAGGAAACACTTAGCTTAGATTCAAGCAGCTCTACTTTTGTATCGCCTTGTTCATTTGTGTTTAAAGTTAAATTTAATTTTAAAAGGCAGTGCTTGTCATGCTCCCAGGTGCAAAGAGTCTTGGTATGCTGTCCTGCGATGTCTCAATGTGTCTGATGGCCATCTTCCCTTCTTCACCTGAACATATACATTAAAACACTGTTACTCTATTTTAAAAAGGTCCTATACTACACAAAATTTACTCTTGTGAGCTTTAAGCCATGTTATAATGTCATTATCTCCTCAAAAACAGACATGGAATTGTGTTTTGTTTTATTCACGCATGTTTGAATAACACTATTATTAGTCTGTCTACATCTCCAAAGCTCAGAATGTTCTGTTCCACCTTGTGATGCCATTGCAAGTAGTTTTCAAGTTAAAAGCATTTTACCTTAATTTTAGGAGAGACAAGCAATTGTAGGGCTGAAATTTTCCAAATGATTCTATTAAAGATATATGGCGTTTAAAAACACAGTGGAGCACTTCCTGACATCACAAGGTGGAAGAGTGTTTGAGAAAATATGCAGAATTTGGATGTTAAACATATGTAAATGAAACAAAACCAACTCTGGGTTTGTTTTAAAGAGGAAACAACATTATAAAAACAGAAAATTGTATAAGATGGGCCCTTTAATAGTCTAATCTCAAAACATTTTTTTTAATCTTGCTGGTTTACCTAATACGAGTAAACATTGTTTGACAGCATCTCGGACATCATCCTTATCCGTCTGACAAAGATACACCAACTGCTCAATGCTTTCTTTGGCCTGGAAAACACAATATGAAACCCAATATGAAACATCATCTAAATAGATTACAATTAAATCCAATATTTTGTTGTATTTACCTTTAAACAGGCCAGAGCTTTGCATCCACAGATTCTTGTTGCAACGTTCTCATCCTCTAGCAGTTCCAAACAGTTGACCAGGGCCTAACACCAGTTTAATGACAGTATCGATCATTTGTGCTTCCAGCTGTGCACTGGCAGATCCCCCAACCCAAACATTGACAATCATACTGTTTATTGATTTTATTTCATAGCTGTCCAAAAAGTAATTTTACCATAAAACACAAAGGCACGACTGAAAAGTGACTTTTTGTGTTTTATTTCATGCAATTTTTATTTGTTTTTTAAAAAGTGCATTGCGCAACTTTTCTGGTGGAGATATTATTGCTTTGTCTAGAATGTTCCGATTAAACCTATCTATCTCCAGGCAGACAACTTTGGCTACATTATAGGTCAGATCTGTGGAGAGTCACCCCTATTCACAGAATGTATTTTTGAGCAATAAAAACACCTGTAATAAATGCTAGATAGATGTGTTTAATGTCATACTATGGAACATTCCAGGTAAAGCAATAATATCTCTATGGTGGCAAGTAACCAGAAAAGTTATGCAATACATCTTTAAATCTACAAGTCGATATATATAAAAAATATTGTTTGTGAATGTACATTGTGTGTGTATTAGGTTGCTTCTCCTCTCACCTGTTCTCTTGGTCTGGGTTGACTGGCCAGGCCCCTGAGTACTGAGCTGGCAGACGCTGATACTTTTCCTCGTGGGTCTTTTAACAGTTTGGCCACAGCATGAATGCCCTGCTTCTTAAGGCTGCATTTGACTGGGTTTCTAAGGACTTTCACGATCACATCTTGATCAAGTGATGCCAAGTTCTGCACCAGCCACACTAAAGAAAGACAAAACAATATAATTATTCATATTTAAAAGGTTGTATATTGCTCAAAATTGACTCTTGTGAGCCTTATGCCATGGTAGAATGTTGTTACCTTATCAAAAACATAGCTGGAATTGTGTTTAGTTTCATTCACACATGTTTGAGTAATCCTGGTTTATTAGTCTGTCTACATCTCCAAATCTCAAAATTGTGATATCATGGCATTAGTTTTCAAGTTAAAAACTTTTTACGTGTAGTTCAGTAGAGACTGGCAATTCCAGATCTGAACTTATCCAAAGGATTCTAATGAAGATGTATGGAGTTTTATAACACAGTGGAACACAGTGTTTTCTGTTTGAGAGAATTCAGCCTAAACATGCATGATCTGTGTGTTAAATGTGTGAATGAAACAAAACAACTCCCGGTATGAAAATAGAAAATAGCATAATATGGGCCCTTAAAGTTAATGGATGCAGGTATCATTGTACCTTAGTGAGTTTGCTACTATAAATTTGTTTGATTATTACATTATTATTTGACAAATATCGTAGTAATCGTGTAAAAATGTAAAGCTGTAATGTGATTTTGATACAAAGTCTTCTGTTTTCAACAGTGTATAAACTTTTACTTAACAATAAACAGAAACTCACCATGCCTTTCTGAAGTATTTTTTTTTCTTTGAGACCCAGAATAATAGACATTGTAAACTTCAACATGATAATCACATTTTAAAGTGACTTTACCTTCCTCTGCCAGCTCAGAAATGTAGGTCTCCAGGTCAGTCACACCGCTGGCCTCCAGGTAGTTCCACCACTGAAACAAAGTCACCATCACTGCTTCTTTATTGGAGTCTCTTTGGGGCAGTTTCTGATCCAGAACTTGTTCAGCCAGGGACCGAAACACTGGACAAACAGAAAGACAATGATGAATAAATAATAAAATTTGAAATGAAACAGAAAACACACACCAAAGTCCTTCAAGAGGTGCAAATGCAAGGAGCAGCAATTTAAAATAGAAAAAATGCATAGCACACTTATATGGCAGATATCAAAAATAGAAAAGTTTATGACAACATTTCAGCAAAAAGCCTTCATCATATTATCTCTTTTTCTTGCTTTGGACCACAGTACCACATACCACCTAAGAAAATTTCATCAGCATTATCTAAATCACTGATAGTGTTGTACCTGTGTCAACCATGCTGGACATCCTCTCTGGTAGGACACTGGAGTATACGTCAGACAATGCCCTCTGAAAGGCATCCACAGAGACAATATACAAACAGCCCTGTTGGACACACTGTTGCCACAGTGACACTGCTCCCTGAATAGGCCCCAACTGAGGGATAACTGTGGATTTTAGGACAGAAAAAGATTAATTAGTAAAAATAATAAGTAGCATGTTGTCTCATTAAAGTTACTACAATTGTAATTCTATTTATAACCCATCTTAGGTTATAAATGGTCTGAAGGCAGTAAATGCATTACTTAAATATGATCTCACCTTCGTTTGGCTGTTTGAAGCACTTTGGATTCTTTTTGACAACACGTCTGATCATTTTGAAAACCTGAGCTTCACGCAGGAGTCTGTCTAAGGCATACATCTCCCTGCAACGCAGAGGACCAAATATGCCAAGACACTGTGGAGATCAAAAGTACAAAAATCATATTATAAACATCTTAAATATAAATATATAATAATGACACAATTAACATCATTTCAAGCAACCATTAGCTGTATATGAAAGATTGGATGTATGTGCCTGAAAGGGACAATATTCTGTTGTTTTTTTTACAGACAATAAAGCCTTTTGAATCTTTTTTTCAACTTGTGAACACTTTACATTCCTGTACAACAGGCCCAACGAGTGTACCGTAATGTAGTCTGTACTGTGTTTATGTAGTTATGATGTTGTCTGTCTGTCTGTGTATATGTCACACAAGCTCTATGTTTGTGAAAATGAATGTCCCCTCGGGGACAATAAAGTTTAAAGTCATCTCACCGTAATTCTTTTAGAGTTTATATTGAAGAGTTTGGATAAACAAATGGTGTGTCATTATTTACCAGCAGCTGTGCACTGCAGTACTTCAAATGAGCCTCTAGACATTGGTCCAGACTCTTGCAGCCTGTGGTCAGGGGGGCAGAGAGAGAGGAGGGGCTATCCCAGCCTTTCTTCTGTAAAAACCTATAGAAATATAATACAGAAAAAAGATTTACTTTATGGCTCATATGGAGGTTTCCAAATATTTCTGGAATCAAACAATACTTTAATTCTATCTGAAAAGCATTTCATTACCTTTCATTATTACTCCTCCTCTCCCCCTCCTCTTCCTCACAGTCAGACATGTTCAGGAAATCAAAGCTGCCCAGAGCAGTTTCCACACTGAGGCTGACCAGACTGGAGGACCGGCTGTATCTGCCGCACTACACACACACACACACAAACACAAACACACAACAGATGTAAAACTTTAAAATATCATCAGATGTTTATGGCCTTACATGTTACGGCTTTGACAAGACATAAGAAGGACCCCTACTGTCCACATTAAGTATCATAAAAGAACACCAAAAAGATATTCATTCAGTATTAAGACATCCTGGGTACATTATCCTGAGCACCAAAACATTTTCTATTTTATATATTTATTTTTAACTGAATTGTCACATTTTGTACAATATTTTTTCCTCACCTCCAGTGTAGTCTGCAGTAACTTCAGCTCTTGTTCCAGCAGTTGTAACTCCGGGAACTGCCCTCTGTAATCATCAAAGGAAGACACCAAAGCCCCCAGAGCCTCTCCTAAAGCCAGCGCCAGCTCACTATCCACAGACTCAGCTCCTTCATTGGACAAAACATCTGCAGCCACTGCCTCTGTTGTGTCCTCCTCCACAGACACCCAGTGGGCTCGATAGGTGACATCACTTTCACTGGACATTTCTGAGGGGTCATTTGAAGTAGTGGAGGCAGCAGGGAGAGAACATTCACTCAGCTCTGGGGTGACACTTGTTTCATCTGTAGTTTCATTATTTGGTTTGTTTTCAGGAAGTTCAGAAGTAGTATTAGACACGTCCTCTTTGACATCAGTGATATCAGTCCCAGATGTTGTAGATGTTTCTGGAATGGCTTCACAGAAGGGCTTGTCCAACAGCGCCACACCATCAGCACTTCCTTCACTAATGAGACTCAGAGATCTCGAGAAGTTTCGGCTTTTCAGTGACCCGTCCAGAGCAGCTATGGGAGTGGGATCTTCTTTGGGATCTGATTTTGTAGTCACTGTGAGTGTCCTACTGTCCTCCGGCCTGTAGACCAACACAAGTCAAATGAGTCAAAGCACAACATAAAAAGAAGTCAACGTGAGCTTTTAACTTGAACTTAAATCTTCAAAATTTGATATCAGATAAAATAAAATAGGTTTCTTGTTAAATATAAAATAAACACACCTAAATGTCAGTCAGACAATTTCAATGATTAAAAACATGTATCAGGAAAGAGGTACCTGCTGCCCTCTGCTGGTGATTTGGAGTCTGGGTCCTCACTGATGATGCTGATGTTGTGTGAGGAGCTGGAGGTGACAGGTGCAGAGTCCTCGGTGCACAGCGACAGGTTTGACTGGAGTGAAGATTTCCGTCTCTTGACTGACTGAAGATCTGGCGTTCTTGAAGCTTTTGGAGTAGTGTCTTCTTGCGGTGCCTGAAGAGAAACATGTTCAGAGTATGATTTTGATATGCTCTCAGAGATAACCAACAGTGATGGGAAGAATTTTTTTTTTTTATGTATTTAGTTACAGAATACTGAATAGCTGCATTAATATGTATTTTTGCAACATATTCTGATACATGGGTCAATCAGAGTACTGTATTCTGAATACAATACTTTTACATTGAGTTGCATTTCAGTTATTGAGTAAAGACAAAACATTTTTCAGCTTCATATTTGTTTCACCAAAGCATTTCCTATCACTCAATTGGAGATTATACATGCACTCACCACAAAAGTAGTCCTCTCTATTTTTCTCACTGATTCAGAGTAGTTTGAAGCTTAAATTACATGATAAAATACTGTAATATATTCCACTGATTTTAGAAAGAAATATTCTGAATACCACCAAATGTGAAAGTAACTGTACTGGAATACAGTTTACATAAAATACAGTAATAATTAGATAGGAAAAATATTATTCAGTTTATTTAATATGATATCTCGACTGTCATACTTGTTGGCTACCTTCTGGATAGTTTTCATGCTTGCTGGAAGTTGAGGACTGGAGGAGTCATCAGAAGATTCAGAAGAGTTTGACCAGGCTCTTCCATTCTCCATCTCTTCATGACGTCGCAGCATGTTCTGACAGAATAAAATAAATTGAAAGAGTCAAAATACTGAAAATAGACAGCTATAATTTACGATGATTTTTACATTGTGGAGAGATGTACAAGCTTTTTTTTTTAAACACACTATGGTTAGCCAATACAGAAGTGGGCTCTAAAGTAGGGCAGAAGTATGTCAAATAAAAGGTTACTACAGTTACTACAATGTAACAATATTTCAACTCTTCTATTCTTCTACTAAACTTACGGCCAGGGACAGTCTCGCTGGTGAGCTGTCACTACAGGAGCAGCTGTGCATGAGTGAGTCTTTGAAAATGTCCAGCAGTGGCCAATGCTGCCTACTGGTCAGACTCCGAGGCAGAGACTGAAGCAGAGCAGTGGGCCCGGGCGGAACAAAAGGCAACAGGAAAGTCAGAGGAAGCTGCTATTCACATGTGCTTTAAATATATATCTCAAAAAAGGTTTGTTTAGTGTGTGCCCTGTTTAAATGAATGCTGGAAAGATTAAAAACTGAAACCACCTCAAGCCAAAGTGCATATGTTTAAGCAGCTGGTGAAAGTAAGTAAAAAAGTAACGAAGCCAAGATAGTAATTTATACTAAATTTGCATCAAAACAAGATACTCATTTGAACAAGTATCATTGCTGAAAAATACATAAACAGGCCAAAATCGAACTGTTTTACATTATTTTGATTTATATTAGGCCTGCCATGATTACCCATTTTGAAGTAAGTGTGAGGTATTGCTGAAGAAAATAGACAATAAAGGATAATATTGAAACAAATGTATGCCTCTGACATAATGACCCTAAAGAAATAAATGTATTAAAGAAGTAAATGTATAATACTGTTAAAAATAACACGAGCTACAATGAATAAATTGCAGGATTAAACACTTGAATAGTTAGTTTCTAAGTCATAGAAGTTATTTATTCAACCTTCCACAGCTCAAATCTTAGTACAAAGAAAAAGTACATAGAAAAATTTCCATCTGTCATGAACTGAACAATAAGTCAATATAGTAATTATCATGACAGGCCTAATCTATATAAAAATTACTGAAAGAAATTGCTATTATTTTTGTTCAAAATATCATTATATTGTCTAACAAGGAGGGTTTTTATATTCATTGTGGTTTAGACATTTGTGTCAAGTACTGATTCTTTTCCATAGTCTCAAAGTTTGACATTATAATATCATGATACCACTACACTAAGAAAGACAAGAAAATGTGAATATACAGATTGAATAAAGCAGGTCAGGACTTACATAGAAAGCTTGTTCACGTAAAGAAGGAGTATCAGGAGGGCTCTGGTTGAAAATGGTGGAGAATCTTTTTGTGACGGATGGAGCCTTGTTTACACTGCTCGATAATGACACCTGCTCCTCTTTATCAAACGGGCTGAAGAAGCAAAAAAGTGATGTTTATTTTTTGTATTCTCTAATGTATTGGACAGTAGTGGGAGTGTAAAGAGAACTTACTTCCAGGTCACTTCTAGGTTTAATTTAATTGTCCCAAGGTCATTAATATCCACAGCAACAGTTTGAGGTAAAGCAGCGAAGAGATCTTTAGTCTCACAGGAAACACTGCCTACAACTACATGATTGGCCAAACTCTTCAGCTCTGTCACCTGAACATGCAAAAATATTAAAACACATAACATTTTACACTTTTAAAAGAATATTTGCAAATGTAAATTCTATTCTCTTTTTATTTCTATTCCATTTCAATTGTTAGGTCTCTATTTTAAAAATGCGCTGACCTTAACAGAGAGGAATTCATTGATGAGTGGCTGGAACACCATTTCATCACTGTCCCACACCTGCCCAGAGTTCACTTCAATTTTGCCCCGTAGTTTCCACCTCTGTCGGCCATATCTCATAAAAATCTGCACAAAAGACAACAGTAAAACATAGTATAGCTATCTGACCCCTTATTGTGCCTATAAAACTTATTCTGATTTGGAGAGAGAGAGGAAAAAGAGCATTTTACCCACAGACGGTATGTATAAATTGACATAGCTAACCCACTAGCTGCTGAGCTCCAAATAGGAAGTGAGCGTGGGCTTGTTTACAGTTCCATCAACTCTTAAAATGTTCGTATTAATCCACTCGACATGTTTTTATTTTACTACTTTGACTGTAAATCAATTCCTATTCCTAATTTGCTCCTATAACTGCAAGCCTCTGTAAGCTTCATTTGACTAGATCAGTGATATCACTCTCACTTAGTCCACTTCTTTATATAGTCTATGATTTTACCTCATATTGATCACCAGCACACAGTCTTGCAAATCCAGCCAGTCCTAGACAAATCATAAACATTTGCACTTAAATGTGTGAACAAGTTACAAAAGAAAGATATGTAAAATTGTTTAAGATGTGATGATAATACAGTCTAATAATGTAACAGTGGTGGTAGCAATGAAGATTTAATTTGAGATGTCAATTTTGCGTCTCACCTTTCATCTTTATATGAAATTCTCCAAGGTGGTTTTCTAAGTCAGTCTCCAGCACACACATGTTCTACAGGTATAAGACCATACAGCTTTGAGTATCTTGCATGAGATTTTAACTTTGCTTTGTGATGTTCTGTTTACCTCTGTGTACTCTTTATAACCCTTATTGGCCTCTGCTAGACTCTCCCTTGCTTCTTTACTGCTCGGTGAAGCCAAGAACGCCTTCACCATTTTATTAGCACCATCCCGCAGCCTCCGTTGCAAACAGTAGGCTTCATACAACTCTTCAACCTGGACAAAAGATCAAATAGACAGTGAAATTGATTTGTTTTTGATTAGTACTTTTGTAGGTTTTTGATGTGACCATTGTGTTACTTACTTTACTGAGGTGAAACTCCAAGCGCCGAATTAATCTCTCTGTAACTTTCACTTGCTGTAAAATAAAATATTTAGGTTTAAGCATGCATTATATCTGTTGAAGGGTCTGCCACCAGCTAGTCTCTGTATAGATGGTATTGCTTTGTCTGGAATGTTCCACAATATGGCATTAAACTGTCTCCATCTTCATGGAGACACCATCAGGCCAACTCCGCAGTAAATGCCAAATTCCAGCCAAAGCAAGAACATATCCATGGAGACAAGTAGGTGATGGACCCTCCAGCAGAAAAGCTATAGAGTGCGCCTTTAACTTTAAATTTAAGTAAAACTAAGCTCTAAAGACAGATATTAATTCTAATGAGTCAGAGTAGATCTATAGTTCAAGAAAAGCATCTCTTAAATTGTTATGATAACAGCTTTTAATACACAACTTACCTTGTCTAGCTCATAGAGAAAGCCCTGTAGAAAAAAAAAACATTAAATAATGCCAACCACTAAAGAATAGAAGAACAGAATAGATTTCATTCTATGCAATTTTAAATGAATGTACATTAACTACACAGTATCTTGAATCCCTCACACATCAGCTTGTCTTCACCCTTTGGGCCCACTCCAAAATAGAGCTTGAGTTTTAACATTAACCAAAGGGAGGTCTAACAGTGATAAGGATAAACCTTTCACCTGAATGTGACTGTGAGAGTTTACATACAGCCTGCTTCACACCACACTCTAAAATATCCTTTTGTGAAGCTTAAACACACATGAAGAGTGTAACCCAGAGCTGTTTTCACAAACTGTATGCATCTTTTATTAAGTGCGTTTGGTGTTTATATTATCATTTGTAAGAAGTGTAAACAGTACCAGTCGAGAATTTCTTTTAGATGTCCTCATCTCTCTGCTGAGGCTGTCCAGATCCATCTGATGAACCTGAAGATAGGATCTACAAAAGGAAATGCCATGTCATTTCAAAAGATTAAACACTGAATACATTGCATTTCAAACCTGTTTTAGATAAGTGATATAATGCAGCCTATTATATACATGTAAACATGTAAGCTTTGTTCTGGAACAAAAAGATTCTTCATTCTGTCTTTTATGATCTTTATCAAAACTGGAGCTGACTGCACATTTGCAATTAAAATTCTTACAGAAAGCGGTTGAGAAAAAGTATTGTCCACAAAACCTGTTTGCTCAGGATACCACAGTTATCTAGTTACTGTTTTGAGAGGTCTGTGAGACTTTGCACTCACTGTAAGCCTTTTTTGAGCGCCTCGTAGACCTCATCAGTGCGTTCCGGCTGAGGGACTCTGGGCGGGGGGTTGGACGACATAGTAAACATCCTACTGGCTTTGCTTGGCTTTCTCCTCAGACCTGGAGTGGTGTACACTGACAAGGGCCTGAAGCAGAATTTGACCTGTTAATCATTGTTAAGCAGAAAATACTGCAATAACAGAGTAATAACAGTGTGAGAGTACCTAGATTTGTCATATGTGTTGACCCCAGTGAAGCTGTGGCTCCTTGAGATGGCCTTGAGGGCTCTAACTGGACGTACGGACAGTGACATAGTGGACAGGGTTCTGGAGGGGCCACCTGCACACACACATACACATACACACACATCACAGACCCACAGACACACACACCACAAGAATTATCTTAAAAACAATGTCACTAAAACTTCTTTGGCACAGAAAAATGCCCACTCCACTGGAAAAACTAAACTCCATTTCCTACACACAACTCAGACAATAACATGGACAGTAGTGGATCACATCCACCTTCTGCCAAGTTGTCAGCACATTTCTACGGACTGATAGTGCAAGCACTGCACAAAGTGAGTTTGGACTAAGGCCCAGGCAAACATTAATTAATACCGTACTCTATCCAACTGCAATAAACAATCTCCAGTACCTCCAAAATGTTCTATAGAATGACTTAAGAACCTCTTCAGATTTTTAAATAGTGTGATGTAATACAGCATTTGTATTGAAACACAAAGGGAAATGACCAAGAGATTATAACTTAGGTGGAGCCAACATGTCTTTAACCGCTGCCTTTTCATCAAGGAAAGCAATAGAAGATGCATGGATGAGTCATGGAGCAATATTTGAGATAAGACCTTCATGTTGCACTTTCGATAATTCAGAGCTTTTGACTCAGAGTCGGGACTATCCAGTTTCCTGTATCCTTTTCCTCTAAACAGCTGGCTGCAGAAACACCAACACCCACTCCACAAGAGAGGAAACAACTCTACAGGAAGTTAGATGCAACCCAGTCTTTGGACGGGAAATTGAACAAAAGAGATAGGCCAGGGGCAGCAGTCATCTGGCACCAAAGGGTCATTTCTGTTTCAGTTCAGCTTCACTGTATTCATAAAAATCTCCACTGAAGACATTTGGAACAATGTGCTAACAATAATTTCCTTAGCAGTCATCAAGTAAATATATACTTAAGATGGAAATATTTTATCCATAGACTGTATAAAGAAATGAGAGACTGTGACGTCACCCATAGTCAAATGAAGCTCACAATACTAGCAAATATGGGAGCAAATTATGGGAGCCAGGTCCATATCAGCAATAGGAATTTATTTACATGCAAAGTGAAATAAAAACACCAAGATCATGTAGAGCAGGTTCAATCAAACATTTTAAAGACCATAATGATGAGGCTCACTGCAGCAGTTACAGAGAGTGTCACAATGTTTTAATGTTAGCCATGTCCATTTATATATACAGTCTATGATTTTACAATTTTTTTGGGGTAATTTTCATCAATCTTTTGTTTATTCTTGTCCAATGAATTTAGGCCAACTCTCCAAGCTGAAGGTAGACATGAGCTGACTGAACACATTTTGTCCTGCTGAAATAACTTATCTGGTGGAAGATCCGCCATCCGCTTGTCTCCATGGTGATGTTATTGTTTTATCTGGGATGTTCCACAGTATGGCGTTAAACAAGTATATCTTGTATTTACTCAGTTACAGGTGTTTTTCTTTCACAAAACTACTGCAAAAACATGGATTATTATTGAGGAGATCCACTTCTCCACAGATCTGACCTGCAACTTGGCCTGGTGATGTGGCATGTTTGTCTCCATGGAGATAGTTAAATTATATGCCATACTGTACAAAATTTCAGGAAATAAATATGGAAAAAGTGGTGGATACTCTACCAGAAAGGTTACACAGTGTAGCTTTACATTTCTTGGGAGAAAACAACAACAATCTTGCTTTGTTTGTTGACTCACACACTAACCTTTATAGGAAAATGTAAGTTTCCTGTAGAAAAAGGGCAGAGGCAGACGGCACATCTCTCCATCTGTCCCTGATCAGTGTTGTCCTCTCTGAGCAGAGCAGGGTACAGACTAGCCCCATGACAACATCACTTTACACACAAAGAGACACACTACAGCTCTACTGTATCTGATCATGTGACCTCACTCATTGTCTGAGTCTACTAGCTCACCGACCATTCTGGAAAATGCTCTCAATCCAAACAACCAAACTAATCCTAGGTGAACCAAGGGAAAAAATTTAAACCATGGAGCAGCATATTAATACCCGAATCATAACATTACAACTAAAAACATACAGATGTGAAACAGCAGTCACATCAGGTCATCTTTAGTTTACAAATATGAGCTACATGAATGGAGTGGAAGGGGGTTGGCTAAAAGAGGTCAAATTCCCAACAACAACAGCTCATGCAAAATATGTGAGGCCCCACACTCACAATACAGACAGTCAGTGGGCCATGGATCCACATTTGTGAGCATATTTGTCCATGTACTACTATATAGGCCCCAGCATCTTTGAGCCAAGATGGGATCAACCCTCATGGTCAGTGTTACTTACTGAGTAAAATGAGCATTGCCGTTTTTGGACAGGGGGAGGAGGGTGAAGTGTCAGGGGAGAATCTGACCAAAGAATTGAACCCAAAATCTCCTTAGTGTGAGGTGGAGTCTTCTTGAACAATCTGTCTGTCTTTGGTCTTATGTAAAATCTACTGTGTGTAATGGATGTAATGGAAGTTTCAGTGATGCCATGTTTTTTGTTTGTTTGTGTTTTTGTTTTTTTCTGAAGATGCCAAAAGTAAAATATGGGTCACCCAAGCTCAGACACAAATAAAGGAGGATGAAGAATAGCTATTGCTGTGGTAATGACTAGTGAGGATCCAAAATAAATAAATAAAATAAACAAAAATAAAGACAAATTAAATGTCTGAAATCCAAAGTGAATACTCATGTTCTTGATACATCCATGCCTTGCAATGGATTATTGCTTATTTGTACCACACTAGAGTTAAACATCAACTCTTTAAAATAGTGCTTCCTGTATGACTATCAGGGCTACATTATGATTACAATGGAAAGTAAAAGACCCTTTCTACCTTTATGTCATGTGTTGTCCAGGATACAAGAGGCACACACCTGCCATTGACAACTTTCAGGCCAGACAGTGGGACCATTCAACACAGAGTTACAGACTCCAATATACCATACTGTAAACCATGCACTTTAAATGCTGTGATGATACTTTAAAGTAGTTTGAATAATTTAATGGTGTACTATAACTTTTTGGTTGGGGGTCATTGCCGTGCCTGGAATGTTCCACAGGATGACATTAAACAGGTCTGCCTTACATTGATTCAATTACAGGTGGTTTTATATCTCAAAAATTCATAGAAAAAACATGCTTTCTGATTGTGACCAGGTTGCCTCTCCATAGATGTGACTTGTAACTTGGTCTGGTTTGGTCTCCATGAAGATAGAAAGGTTTAATGCCATATTGTGAAACATTCCAAACAAAGCAATAAAATCTGAAAAGTATTTGACTGGCCCTCCACCACAAAAATTATACAATGCACATTTATGTGTGTACTTTATCAGTCCATTTTAAAGTCACCAGTGTCAGTCACAGATATGATAGTATTGTGTAAAAAAAATCCATGTCACACTAAAACAATATAAAATCGACAACATTTTCATGAGGATCAATAGTATCCAGCTTTGTTCAGAGCCGTCTTCAACTGAGAAAAGTCATGAGGGAGTGACTTCCTGACAAAATAGCACAACCAGGAAAATGTGTTTAACAAAGCTGAATCAAGGGGACAATTGGAAAATGTGTGTATGAAATCAGTCTCCAAAAATCATTATCCTACACATACAAAACACAACATGGTCTACTGCAGTTGTACTGAAACTGACAATTCTACATTTCAGCTCTTGTTTAAAGCTATTATATTAGTATACAGTGTGTAGTTCTTTTTAGTCCTGGTTTATCCCTAGTTTAGACCTAGAATGGTCCTTTTCTAGACCTGGTTTAGATCTGGCCGTGCTTGGTGGGAAAAGTTTGAGAACTGTTGGTCTACTGGACTATACCTACTATGTTATTCACTTTATGATCAGATGCCTTGGAGACACCAGTGAGAAAAATACATTTGTTCAACCATTGACTTTTTGTGAACCACCTTGAACAACAAACAAATCATTTAAATTGCAAAAAACTAAAATACTCACATTCATTTATTCGTTAACAGAGAAGCATGTATCACCAATAGGCCTGTCACAATAACAAATTCTGAAGCATGCTATATTGCCACAATGATATGCAGCGATAACTAGCGATAAACTGAAATACAGTGATATAAAGTGATAAACAATAATACTGAAACTACTTCATGCCACACAGTAACAATAAAGCAGGATAATTCCAGTAAACAGTATTAAAATAGATTGCTTAAAAGACCTGAGCTGCAACAAATAAATAGCAGAATTAACCAATAATAATGATAGAAGTTACTTTTTCAACCTCTTACTCCTCAAATGTTGTTTTACGTCATCTATTATATATTGAATAAGTCGAAAGAGTAATTTTTGTGACAGGCCTAGTCACCACATCACCCAACACAAGTCTTTTAATGGCAGACTCCACACAGATCATAAGTGTCCAACCAGGCAAGATTTAAACCACAATCCAAGACACCAAACTCACCTCATCAAGAAATGCACAGCATTGCTTTCTTATATCCCTTTCAAACAACTAATAAATATCACATAACTCCGGTCACTGACATTCCCACACTGTACACTGTACAGTATGTCTGAGCATTTTCCACATTCTTCTCCTGGGTACTGAAGGTGCGCATTGCTCAACCTCCAAGGCCCACTGCTGTTCTTATCTGCTACAGGCAATATAACAGCAAATACATCTCAACTACTTAAAACTTAACTAGGATCAAGAGAGTTTTCTAGAGTAAAATACAATCAGTTTACAAGATAATATAATGACAACATACCTTTGCTTCCACTGTACATGGCTGTGTAGGTGGTCTACAGTAATTCAAAAAAAAAAAATCTTCCTCCAAGGCTAAATTTTACGTCTTACCCTACCTATTTTTGACTAGTTCTAGATGAAACATGATAGAGTTACATTTAAAGGAATAGGTCTAATCTGGCTTTACACTCATGTCTCCTACAGCAGCAGGTTGGTCTGTGCGGTCCACTAACCCAGTGCTACCACACTCAGATAAGTAACTTACAGTGGGCTGAAGGAAACGGGAAAGCCACCCCCCTGATCTTCCATGGGTTTTCCTGCCCCTCCTTCTTCCTGTTACATCAACATATTGTCCATGGCCTAACACACACAAGCAGAAAAGTTTTTATTTTTGAGTAAGGTTCAAGTGGCCAAGTAGGATATGACCTATAGCTACTGGGTATCATATTTTTCATAAATACGTAGATAACAAGACACACTGAATTAAAGTTGTGAAAATTATGTAATATGTTTCCTACCCAGTAAAAAGTACAGTGTTTAAAATACTAGGATCAAAAAAACAGAATTTGTGTTAAATATGACTTACAGGATTACAGATTTCAGAGGCTTTCACCCCATCAACTGGGGCTCTCAAGAGAAAAATAAAATGTGGAGCTTCTTGATTTCATGTCATCATGATAAGGACACACAAAGAGAAGCTTATTAGTTATTCCTTCATTGGAATAATTATGCCTTCATTAATTCTGGGGTGGAGATCAACCAATGTTTTTTTTCATGATCAGTGTCATTTGTTTAAAATCCACAAAAAACAACGTCCAACAAGCTGCACCAATATTTTCAGTTGATATGCAGGGCTGATTGAGATTCTTTTCCCCAGATGATACCATTTTAATTTAATACAAACTCATCCACAATACTGTTCTAAAACAAACAGGATAAGTGAGCTATGTAGGCATATTTTTCACTAACTTCTTTTTAATAGAGTATTCAAATAAAGGTTTTTGCATATTCTTTACTCTTTATGTAGATTTGTATTGTATGCCCAAACAAAATATCAGCCTTTCTTTGAGATTAAAGACTCATAGCCAATACACTAAGAAGTGCCAATATCAGCCTGATATATCAGCTAACCAATATCACTCTTTCTCTATTCTGAGATTCATGATAAAGAGAGCATCCCTCTGACTGTGTACTAAGGACAACTGGATCTTTCAGGACAAGTCAAATGCAGTAATCAAGTATTTTGCTTGAATCTGAATTTAATGGCTATGACTAATTAAGTTTTCCTTTGGAATTTTATTATATTAAACCCTCTTGCTAAATCTAATTCACGCTCATATATTTTTAGTAGCCCCATAAACACAAACTTCTCAAGTGAATGAGTTTTGCACAGTGCTCCCCAGTATATTGAGAAGAATGAGTGCACAGTCTTTCTAAGGACATGAATTGGTGTGTGTGGACCCCTGTGAAGTTGGGACTTTCCTGTTAATCTCCAGCTGGCCAATAAGCAGCTTAACTGTCATTGGAGTGCAGCAGGCTCATGACCGTCAGGCAGCCCGGCCAATATGCTTCAGAGGGACACGGTCCATACTGTAGCATTCTACTGTAAGTGGCAGGCCTATAGGGTGAAGCACTGTATTTACTACTGATGCCACCACTTCCTAAATAGCAACTAAAGTCATCTTAAGTCATAACTACAATTAGCTGTTAAATCACATGTGCTTACATAAATAACCCATAACCATACAAATAGCACTAGGCCTACAACAGCCACCATACACACTTTGCATTTAAGCACAGACTTATGAAAAATTGAATTAAATGCTTTATAGTGTTAAGCAAAAGCACTTTTCCAAAATACCAGTAGAACATAAAATGGACACACTTTGTGATTCTTCTACTTTGACATTCCTGTTTGAGTTAACCTAACACGAATTGAGACTTTTAGGGCTTTGGTTTCTCAGGATACAGTGAGGACAAGGATGAAACAATGCCCATCTTTTCATTATCATGGGAAACCCATGACACCCAAATGAATTAATTCATACCTTACAGTACATAAGACAGTTTTCCCTTGAACTTTAATTTTCGTAAACCATGGGTGTGGGTCAGATGTGTGCTGGATAAAAAATATTTGCATGATGTTATTCAAATTTGTCCCACACTGACTATTTCATTGGTAAATGTAGTACCCAATATGCATGATAAATAAAGTTTTCAATAATAAAAATGCATGGTAGTCTTAATAATCATATAGGCACCAATGAAAATATTTTAGGGAACTGAATTTGATTTTATAGCACATAATTTACAAACTAAACTGAACTGAAACTGCAACAGCAACTTTTGTCTAGTCTTTCAGGAGATCACGGGTGAATGCAAAACACGCTGTGGCTTTAAACAAGCACTTTGGGACTTTGAGCCTCCTGTGTTGTAAATACACTTGTATCTGTTCTCATGACTTGATCAATTCGTGCAGAGAAGCTTCAAGCAAGTGCGACTGTCTACTGCTGCTCCACGCAAGCGAACTTCACACCCTGTCAGCTCTATCTCCAGACATGATTATCGCAATAAGAAACAGACACGTACCATTGTCATCGTGTTTGCATAAAGTGGCGTAAAAGTGAACTCACATAGTTTTCTGCAACGTTGAATCTTGGATCCAGCCTCCACAGCAGTCAGCAGGAGCGAGTAGAGGCTAGTGAGTAAGTCGGCTGTCCCGTGCACACGAGTAATTCGCAGGTGAACATGTTTCATCTACACAAATTTGTTGGAGGCTTGGTCACCGCGGGGAGGCTTCCACTTTTTTCGGACAGTCAAGCGAAATGCAAACTTCTTCAATATTTAATCAAGGTTTTCTAATTTCTCCATATATGCTATTGTTTAAGCTAATTTCAGTTTACAAGTGTAGGCCATATTTTCTAAATCGGCCTAATTTATATAGAAATAAATACGCCTAATTAGAGATATTAGAATAAATCACAGAGCGTCAAAAAGTGCTTTACTGCCATCTAGTGGTGGTCATGCACGCCATACCTTTATATGATTTTGGCATAATTTGAATCAAATATAAATCGGGTTATAGTGTCACTATCTTGATCTGAGAACTTTGATAATTTAATCATTGTGTGCAACACTGGTATTTATAGTTACTTAAGACACTGCTAGTTGGGCTGAACTGTCAACTTTTGGGTAATGGGTGAATCTCTTTACTGAGTGAATCTAACTAGTCCAACTCATAAGTCCTAAAAAGAACATTGTAGATATGTAAAATAAAAAGCAGGGATGCACAAAACTCTTTAGATAATGCCACAATGTACAACCCTGAAAGTCCCCCCCAGCCTGCAAATTCCACATTAAGGCTCATCATGGCTGTACCTTGGCTCAAATTGTGAATTTAATGTATAACATCTTAGAATTAAATAATGAATACAGGAGTTGCTTTTATTTTTTTGTAGTGTTTTCAATTACAAAAGTGAACATGCTTGTGATCTGACTTGGGATCTACAGGAGTTTTAGAATACCAACTTTGTAATGTAATATTTCCAGTTTCTTTCTCAGATGTATATCTAAGCTTGTCAAAATTGTGGTTTATCTCAATCAACTTTGATTTAAATCAAAACGTGTTCCTAATGAAGCTGAATGTTGAAAATAATATCTCACTTTATCCATATTCATCTTAAATTAAAAAACAGACGTAAGTTTTTAAGCTCCAACATTGAATATAAATCTGTATTGAGATTTGGAAACTTAAAACAAAAAGAATAAGTTTTGTATCCTGTGTTTAGCTGCTTTGCATTTGGCAATTTATGATGGAATAGTGTGTCAAATTGACTGAAAATAATCTTGTGTAATGTGGTTTTATACTGTTGTGGGTTGGGCCGGTTAGACTGTGGAGGTGATAAATGGCTTGAGTGTACTCCAGCGGAGCCCCCTCCTGGCCAATCAGGAGAGTGCAGTAGTTTCGACACCACCCCCCAGCGGCCGCACAGGCGCACTGAGCCTCACTGCCATTTTGTGCACAGAATACTCTCCTAAAGCGGGAGAAGGATTAAAACTAACTGCGGAGAGGCTCGCATCTGTTCCGGACACACAAACTTTTTGGTACTGTGATCACACTTTGATCTGCGGGCGGTCGGAACAACATCCAACGACAAGAGGTAAAGTGTCACTACTTTGGTGGAAGCAATGGGGAGTTTGCAGGATCTTTAATCGGCCTCTAGGTGTCATGATGGGGCTCTAGGTCCGGGGAGCCCGCCGAGGAGTGTTTGTCTCCCTCTATCGTTTTCGAAAAAGCGGCCGAAATATGTAGAAATGTACCGAAGTTGAAAAATATATGCATAACTACAAAAACGTTTGCACACAGATTGCAGAAAACGAAAGAATAAGTGTTAGGGATTGCATTAAGAATGTGAACAGAGACTTTAGGCCACGGCGTCCTGTCTGTGTCCCTTTGTTTCCCCTTTTTAAACCGCGACGTCGTAAAAGCAGCGCGGCTTGTGGCTAATGCTAGTTGCAAATGGAAACTTTACCCTTAACGCAGAGCTTAGCTTTGGTACACACCAAATATCGAATTTAAAACTATGATGCATTAAATGTTAACTGCTTACCGCCAATACGGGCAAAACACCGTATTACGTACGCTAGTTGGTTGTAAATTCATCTAGACGAGGCTAATGGCTAACTAGTGCCAAAGGCCTCCCCCACCCTCCACGAGGCTGGGCAAGTGTCCCGTTTGAATATTTTGCTCTAAATTAGGGTTCAACAACAAAAAATAGGATCGCATGCGATGTCCTGAGGCTTAAAACATTGATCGAAATATCCAAGACCAAGTCCATATCGGATATAAATCGCCGTTTGCCATAAAATTGCATTCTCGGTTGAGTAGGCCGCTTATTCGCAGTTAGGATGACGAGGCGTTTGTAACAAAATGGACGCGTTGATCAAAGCGTCTAAAACGTGTTTCGATCCTTCCCAAATTCGATAGAGAAAGTCCTTCTTTCCCGTGTATTTCCCAGCGTCTCGGTCAGGACTGTGGTTGAACCAGAGGCGAGCTGGAGACATATGGCACTGCAAAGAGCTCCCTCTACGACTGGGCTCATGGAGCTACAATAACACCGCGAACACACGGCCATCAAGCGGCCGCATCTTGAGCAGCATTTATTTTCTGCACGTACAGTTTCTGTGGACTGATGTAGAAGTTTCAGACATAACAATCACCTGAACAATGAAATCAGGCGGAAGACCCGTGCACCAAATTAAACATATACATGCCACTTTTACATAGTAAACATAGTACTTGTACATGTGGAAAACTGCATTTAGGAAGAATTTAAAAGTGAATAAAGTGCAGTAAGAATAAACTCGTGAAACACAGTAACATCGAGTGTCACATTTTAAAGTTAGTTTATTGTTTTTAGGGAGTTCAAAAGTAGGCTAGTGTTCCCATGAAATCACCATACCTGAAACTATGCTGAAAGTATTAAAAAAGTTGTAACAATTGACTACTTTTGACTTTTTTTACTTCCAAATCCCAAAATGTGATTTGTGTTTTGTGCTCAATAGAGGTTGCTCATTTTGTTAGATGTTGACATTGTAATAATTATTGTCTTGTTTCACACAGCCAGCATGGACCAAGGAGCAGGAGGTGATCCTTCTGTTCAGGCAGTCCACAGTCAGGATGCCATTGTGGCTGACCTCCTCCAACAGGCAGCAGAAGCTGGAGGTGTAGTTGTTGATGGCCAGGGTGGAGTCGTTCTGGACCAAGGTTAAAATTTACACATTTTTACTTTCATGGATCAGTTCATTGTGGACCGAAAATATTAATGTTTTTGTGTTCAGGACAAGGAATGGTTGAAACCACAACAGTTGCTGTTGAAGGTGGAGGTAGTGTTCAAATGATGGTTATGGACTCTCTAGATCCAGCACTGCTGCAGATGAAGACCGAGGTATGCTCCTTATGCTTCAGGTGTATTGTGCAGTTCAGATGATTGCAATAATGTGAGAAAAAAAATGTAATTACAGAAAATGTAACATTCATGGTTTGCCTATCATGATTTTCTTCAGGTAATGGAGGGTGCGGTTGGAGGAGCTCCTGGTGGTGCTGCTCACCAAGCAACGGTTACAACTGTGGACCAAACTCAGATCATCACCCTACAGGTAAACACACCTTTTAAATAAATAGACAAATAAACTTAAAACAGCACTGAAAACCTAGACCTTGTGCCCATATGTAAAATTTCAGGTTGTGAATGTGGAGGAACAAGCTGCACTGGGTCTTGGGGAGCTCCAGCTGGTACAGGTGCCTGTTTCAGCCTCTACAGTGGAGGCACTGCAGCAAGGCACCCTTGTGGATGCCTCTGCCATCCAAAAGGACCCAGTCATTTGCCATACTTTGCCTCTGCCTGAAGGCTTTCAGGTATGTAAGACAGTTTACCACATTTATAAAGGTTTGATGGATTTTTGGATGTTTGATATAAAAGCATAATTCTTTTTTTAGCAATCACATAATCATAGTTGTTGCGGCTCTATATAAAAGGCACCTTTAAACCCTTATCACTGCATGTATGCTAAAACAGGTGGTTAAAGTTGGCGCTAATGGTGAAGTGGAGACTGTGGACCAAGAGGAGGAAGAGGGTGAGGGCCAGCCAGATGATGAAGGTGAAGAGAATCAGTTTGACGAAATGATGGGTGCACCAGTTGAGCCCTCAGCTGAAGACCAAGCTTGGGCCAAGGATCCCGATTACCAGCCCACAACTGGTGTCAAGAAAATCAAAAAGGTACAATGGTGTAAGCCTATGTATTTGTCATTGTATGTAAGATCTATGAGTTATGTGTTATTTAACCTAATTACATTTGTGATAAAGGGTAAGAAAAGCCGCTTGCGATATGCAGAAGGGGATAAAGATATGGACGTTAGTGTTTACGACTTTGAAGAGGAGCAGCAAGAAGGGCTTCTGTCAGAGGTCAATGCTGAGAAGGTTGTAGGCAATATGAAGCCACCCAAGCCTACCAAAATCAAGAAGAAAGGTATGTTGTTTAAATACCCATGGCATTACATATGTGGCTGGAAATTTAATTTCTATTGTTTTGTAGGAGTGAAAAAGACATTTCAGTGCGAGTTCAGTGCGAGTGCAGTTACACCTGTCCACGTCGCTCCAACTTGGACCGGCACATGAAGAGCCACACGGATGAGAGGCCTCACAAATGCCATCTTTGTGGGAGGGCCTTTCGGACAGTTACTCTCCTGAGAAACCATCTTAACACACACACTGGTCAGTATACAGATGCAGGACGGATAGAAAAGTAATGCTGTACAAATTACTTAAAGCCATGATATTATAGCATATCGGCATGTTTCATCAAATCGGAATCCAGTTACAGTAAAGAGTGTCTTCAAGTTAAAAGGCCTTTGTCTGTGGTTGATTTAACTATCTGATGTGGTTGTAAAAGTAACCCTGTTCTCCTGTGTCTGTGTAGGAACTCGCCCACATAAGTGCACAGATTGCGATATGGCCTTTGTGACCAGTGGAGAATTGGTCCGTCATCGCCGCTATAAACACACACACGAAAAGCCCTTCAAATGCTCCATGTGTGATTATGCGAGTGTGGAGGTATGATCAAAACTAAATTATACTATAAGCATTTGTGTGAAAGCTACAAATATAAAAGTTTTAAAAAAAAAGTGATGAATTTGAAATGTCTGCAAAGGTGAGCAAACTGAAACGCCACATTCGCTCGCACACCGGAGAGCGTCCATTCCAGTGCAGCCTTTGCAGCTATGCCAGCAGAGATACCTATAAACTAAAGAGGCATATGAGAACACACTCAGGTAAATAATAGTTTAATTTCATTTATTAGCTTATCATAATGACACTTGTATAATTTGAACTTTTTTTTGTTCAGGTGAGAAACCATATGAGTGCTACATCTGCCATGCACGCTTTACCCAGAGTGGGACTATGAAGATGCACATTCTGCAGAAACACACAGAGAATGTAGCCAAGTTTCACTGTCCCCATTGCGACACTGTTATCGCCCGGAAAAGTGACTTGGGTATGTTACATTTTTCACTCTTCTTTTTCATTCTTGAACAATAATTAATATAATGATCGCTTTACTCTGTGGACTATGTTTTAACTTTAATTTTTGTGCACCCAGGCGTTCATCTTCGTAAGCAGCACTCATTTATTGAAACAGGAAAAAAATGCAGATACTGTGAGGCTGTGTTTCATGAGCGCTATGCTCTGATTCAGCATCAGAAGTCACACAAAAATGAGAAGAGGTTTAAATGTGACATGTGTGACTACTGCTGTCGTCAGGTAACTACTGTTTCATTAATGTTGTGTGAATAGTGTTTTGTGCACATATTTATATAATTGTATTTGTGTTGCCAGGAGCGTCATATGGTAATGCATCGTCGTACCCATACAGGAGAAAAACCCTTTGCCTGCACCCAGTGTGAGAAGACCTTCAGGCAGAAACAGCTATTGGACATGCACTTCAAACGATACCATGACCCCCACTTTGTTCCCACTGCTTTTGTGTGTCCCAAGTGCAGCAAGACATTTACTCGCAGGGTAATCACATTTGTTTACATTTCAACACAAGAAACTTCTGAAAGCTATGATATACCAAGTGTTTTATTTTTACAGGCTTGTAATCATTGCAGCTACTCCTGTTGAATGATAAAAAATGTTTCTTGTACTTTTACAGAATACCATGTCTCGTCACTCTGAAAACTGCAATGGTGAAATAGATGAGGGTGAAAATGGAGCTGCGACCCCAAGGAGAGGAAGGAGGGGCAGGAAAAGAAAGATGAGGAGCAGGAAAGATGATGACAGTGGTGAGTTAAGTCTCATATTTTCAGTCAATGACATTTGAGCGTGTCCTGTGTTTTGACACTGATTTTGTTCCACTAAAGAAGACGAAGACCAAGTGGAACTGGATGAAGAAGATGAGGAAGAAGACGAGCTCCCTGATGAGGAGTCTACGCTGCTCCAGGACGAAGAGGAGGCTGAGGGATTAGACCTGGACCAGGCCCCAGCCATTGTCCCAGTGCCAGCTCCAGAGGAACCACCAGTGAAGAGGAAACGGGGAAGGCCCCCAAAGAATCCTCCTAAGACCCCCACACAGAGCCATGTTACACCAAAGGGTAAAAGCAGACTGCAACCAGAACATGCCACATTTAAGGGACCAATAAGCTTTATGTAGATTATAGGGTTGTTGTTGGAATAGGAAGAGACTAGTGAAAACTTCAATCCAGTTGTTGCATTTACTAACTGGAGTTTTGTGTTTTACTTATTCAGAAATGTTCAGACCATACATAGTGTGTGTGTGACTTAGCCCTTCAAATACAATACTATATAAATCAATATTAATATTTATTCAAGAGCTATTTGTACATTTGTTAACTGGTCACCATAACTGAGACCTTGTCATAATCCTGTGTCTATTTAACGTATTATTGTTGTACACTGGAACAATCTATCACTGAAATGTATTGATACCTTACTGTGTCTTATTGTACTGTATACATCCACTGTATTTTGCAGCGGCAGCCATTATCCAGGTGGAGGATGAGAGCACTGGAGCAGTGGAGAACATCATAGTGAAGAAGGAGGAGGGCGATGGTTCAGAGGTGACCCCAGACGAACAGGGTGTGGCTCTGACAGTGGAGGCCGTGGGCCTGGACACAGATGCCACAGAAACGGTGGAGCTGAGTTTGAACGAGGCCACAACTGCTGCCAACGGCGACCTGACTCCAGAGATGATCCTCAGCATGATGGACCGGTGAAGACAGCAGTGCAGGCAAAAGACTGAAGTTTATGCTTGCTGACATGTCATATACACTTTGTTGCTTTTTCCTTCTTATCAGGCCCAGTTTTTATCCCAAATGTATATCTGTATGCAGGGGTGGTGAAAGACCTATTATTACTGTTTTAGTTATTTTTTCTTTGTCAGTTTTTGGACTATTGACAGATTTAAAAAAAGAATAATGCTAAGAGAATAATGCTACTAATAATGTTGCTAAAACTGGCTTAAAACTGGATGTTAAAGCCAGAAGGTGCATGAACAAACAATGTCTAAATATACTTGCATCACATTTGCAACATAGTTTTAAAATACCCCACAAGTGTCTTTATAAATGAGATTCAAAAAGCTTATTTTTGTACAAGGCTGCACATAATGTTTATTTTTCCTTTTATTTTACAAGGAATTACCATTACCACAACTGTAGTTCCAGCTGATTATGACAAATAACAAAATTTACAATTGTTTGTCTTTAAAAATATGATGATGATCCATGTTGGAAATCTTCAATCTTACTATATAATTAGTGTTAAATGTGTTCTAAACCCGCTGTTTTGGACTCACTGACCGCATGTGTTCCCAAAGTCTGAAAAATACTGAAAATATTTGCATCATTTGAGCAGATAATTTTGCTCTGTGGATGTTGCAAAAGCAGCCACATCGTGGTTCAGATACTGCGCTCTGCTGTTCTAAGAAATCATGTGTAGTCGTGCTTTGCATCCTTTTATTTTGTGAAAACACTCACCTTATGAATCCTACCAACAAATGTTTTGTTCACAATAATGTTTTTCTTTTTTTTTTTAATTGCAAAATATTTGTTTTAGTCTACTTCTTTTCATTTGAATCTGAGGCAGGCTGTGGTTTGTGCATGTTGGATTAAATTTCAGAACATTTGTTTATACTTTTTGGGCACAGCTATACATAGCTCATGTGATAAAAATGTAATGATTTGAACATTCCACCTAATTAAACCAGTAACCTATAATGTGTACACAGTTTTTTTCTTTCTGTGATTTATACTTATTTCATTTCAGTACATTGATATTGATTTAAGGGTTTATAGATTTGTTTGCTGTCTTACCATACTTTGGTACTTTACATGCACCTGTAATTGTTTTTTTGGGTTTTTTTTTTTTGTTTTTTTGTTGATTTGTCAAAAAAAAAAATGTTCAGCAGGATTTTTTTCTTTGCCAAGTCTGGTCTGAGGGTTGTTAAATAATGCTGAACGTAGAAGCAGACACACATTAAAGCACTGTTTTCATCATTCCAACACGCCTTTTTTATTTGATAATTGCCTTTCATTTAGAAATTATGTGGCAATTTTTGCAGAACTACATTATTGTAGTAGCACAATGTTAAGGGCAACAGTTCTCTTTCAGAGTTCCCAAATTATCACTTTGGTTCATGCGTGAAGAAATGCGTGTTCCTGTTTACTGCCATGGTCCTGAGAGGCAAAGGAAGCAGCGGGCGAGGGTGTGGCCTCCTCCTGTTGTCAATAGCAACCCCACTGTCAGTCAAGGCCATTGGTCCCTCCCCCTCCATCCCCTGGAGGCAGTGGAGGGATGGGGGTGGTGCTTGTGGATGCTGCAGAGAAGATCACCCCCTTTGCTCCATCTCCGGACTAGCTGCAGCCGAGGAGGAGGCTATTGGCCGCCGAGGTTTACCTGATCGAGAGGCTCCGTTTCCCGGGCGGCTGGATTGGCCTCTCCCCCCTCCCCCAGCTCTGGATCCTCCGCATCTCCCATGGAACCTCTACCCACACAGGGACAGACGCTGAGGCACTACACCGCCCTCAGACCGCGACCACGGCGCACACGCACACAGCCCCCCTCATCCAGGCCCCAGGTAACAGAGCTAACCCACAAACATACGCCAGTCGATACTCACGCTTTCAAATGTGTAACTCAGGAAGTAGAGCGTGTGCAATCAGAAAGAGACCAATGCAGGACAATATGGCTATCTTCAATATGCAGGGTAAGCTAAATCAGGATGCTCGGATTCAGATACACGATGAAGATGGGTGAGAGATAGGTGCTAATGCTGTGATGGTGGAGAGATAAATAAGGTCTGAATTTATGTAGTGCAGGGGACATTTTTTATTTACCATGTATATTTGTGCTGTCACTGTGCAGCTACACTGTTGTATCTTCATTTTGGGAGGGTGTTCCCCAGGTTGTTCCCAGAACTCGGCAACCCCCACCTTCTGTCCCTCTATTGGGAATACTTTCATTACCTCAATTATTCATGTTTTAACCATAAGGATATAGCTTACAGTTAAAGGGAAATAAAGAAAATGTCTAAAAGTGTTCCTGGGGTCTGATATCTTCAAATGCACCTGCTGTATACAATTTGCACTTTGTGTTAAACCGCAAAATCCAATTTAAAATATTATAGCTGTGCCTCAGCAACCTATCTTTGCTTTGAGTTTTCTGACTTGAAACCACTAGAGCTAACACATTCATTCAATGATCAGTGTCTGCCGAAAATTGCACCTGGTTGTACTTTGAACTACATTTCTAGAGCTATTCACATTCTTGTCAAATTCAAGGTATAACAGGGGCATATGAGGTTACCAGCACACCAGACCGTATAGTGAAGGTACCCAATTGTCTCTTTGCTTATAAATTTCCTTCTGGTAGATTAATTAGCTTGTAACAACAGAACACCAGCTCTCTTAAAGGGCCAATATTACGCTATTTTCTGAACTATGTTAGAATGTTTTTTCCTCATCAAAATCATACCTGGAGATGTGTTTTGTTTCATTCACACATTTAACACACAAAAGAGTTCTTGTCTCAAACAGAAAACTGTTCCACCTTGTGATGTCATGTGGTAATACAGGCAGTACCCCACTGTGTTTTTAACTCCATACACTTTCACTAGAATAATCAGGATTATTTCAATCCTGGACTTGCCTATGTCTACTAAACAAAAAGTAAAAGGTAGCTGTTAACATGAAAACCACCACAACATGACATCACAAGCTTTGGAGTTGCAGACAGACTCATAATAAAGCATTACTCAAACATGTGTGAATGAAACGAAACGTAACTCCAGGTATGTTTTTGAGGAAGTAACAACATTTTAACATAGTTTAAAGCTCGCAAGAGTCAATTTCACATACTAGCGGACCTTCAAATTAAGTTCTTAACAAACAATCAAACTATGCATGGTTACTTGGTTGAGTTGGAATCCTGTAATTAAACCTGTTATTTCTGTTGCAGGAGCTAAAGGCAGAGGCGGAGAATGAGGCCAGTGAGGGCATGGGCAGAGTGGATGAGGGAGTTGAAGAGTTCTTTACTAAGAAAATAATTCCAGACTATGCACTGTAAGTAACACTCACATACATTTACAATATTATCAGTCTATGTAAGTGTAATGATGTGTAGTGTGTTCAATTTCATTGAATATTTAAAATAGCCTATTCAGCACAATGTTAATTTTAGAGCAGTGTAGTAAGTGATTGCATTGAGTTGAGTATTGGGTTAGACTTTTGTCACATTATTTCTTTTTACAACATATAGGCCTGTCATGATTATAAATGATAATATTCCACTGACACAAAGCAGGATAATCCCAGTAAACAATGTAAAATGTACAGCATCATTATAAGGCCTGAGCTGCAACAAGTAAATAGCAGAATGAACCAATAATTAGCTACAGAAGTGATTTATTCTACCCTCTGCAGCTCTGATCTTGAAAAATGGCTAAAATCTCTTCACTATTGCAAAAAAAATTGTACACATTATAAATATTGAACCCCATAAATTATTGTTTTAGCTTTTGTACATAGAGTGGTAACTCAATATTTTAATTATCATGACAGGCCTAACAACATGCCATTAAACAAAAGCATTCCAGAGGAAATGTGTCCCCCATTCATCTGAGAATTTTTAGATTTTATCTTATGCATGTTAGCTGAGTATATGATTTTATCTCATCAAACTTATCTCGTGCTTTTGTGATCAGTATTTTGACATTGCTATGCACGTAAATATTTTGTGTCTAAGCTCTGCTCTGGACTCTCATTTTCTCCCCACTGTCTCCTGGTTCATGAATCATAGCTACAATTTGAGTCCATTACTATAAATTATCATATTGAATGTGGCTATTAATGTCACAAGAGGCTCTATTCTTAGTCTGTCCTGTGAGACCTACGTTACTGGTTTGAAAACTGTAAATAACATTGTCCAGACCAGTTTTAGACACAACTCCACACACACAGAGATTTCACATCAGTGTCAGTTATGCATTATTTGAGATCACAATCAACTTCATTAGATTATCCCTTAAACACATAAGTCTATGTGTGCTGTTTGCATGAACTTCATTTGGATTAAGCATGTGTGTGTGACGTAGCAGTAGTCGTGGTACTGAGTGTCTCTTGTTTTTGTTGCTCTTTCTGCTGTCTCCCTGCTGCAGAAAAGGCCGGTGGGAGGAGTCAAACCCTGCCCAAGCCACTCCCTCAGAGTCCAGCTTCACCTCTTTAGCCCCATTACCCCTTTCCCCCTCCTCAGACAGTGTCCCCCCCTGCCCCGAGAGTACCACGGTGTCCTCTGCCCCCGACCCGTCCACTGACACGCAGTCTGTCACACCCACTGATGACACTCCCCCCACACTCTCCAGCCCACCCTCTTCTCTCCCCCTGTCCAACACTAACACTACCAACACATCCACTGCTCCCAAAAATATTAAGAAAAAGTTTGGTGACTTTTTTGCCTTCAAGAGAGCCCGAGCTGGCAAGAATGCCAAAGCTGCTGGGGGGGAGGGAGGTGGGGAGTCAGTGAAGGTCAAAAGGACCTCCATCGCTGACCTGATTCGGCCCCTGCGTGAGGCTAAAGACAGGGAGAGAGAAAGGTACAAGGAGAGAGGGGCCAAGTCAGTGGACGATGTTAACGTTTGTAATGATGCCGCCATCACAGAAGGAAGTGCTGCCGTGGGGATGCGTCTAGCAGGCGAAGGGATGGATGTGCTGATGCCTGTCAAGACATTGACCATTACAACACCATCCAATGAGAGCGCCCCCACCCACCCCACGACCCCCGTCCCCTCTGCTTCCACACACATGGACCACACAGAATCAACAGGCAGTCAGCCTGACCATCCCCCTGAGGTCAGACCTGAGGGCACAGAGCAGGGGGACACCAAAACCTCAGTGGAGAGGGCACTTAGGACCAAGCGGTCTCTGCGAGAGGGCAAGAGCCAGAGTCTGATCCTGCTGACTGGGGATGAGGACAGAGCACACAAAAAGGTCAGTGGACACCAAATACACAGCTATTTATAAAGTGATGTGGCCCACAGAAGCTGCCTTTGTAGAACAATCATCCAAGGAAATCTTTATGTATTGTTGATGATGTTTTGCTCATTTGGTCAATATAGATTGTTAAATAGTTTTCATATGTCTATGCAGAAAAATTCACAGGAAAGCACCAATAGTTTTGAACAACGGCTTCAGGTGATGCTACACAGAATAAGTGTTGGAAGAAGCCCACCCCCAGACACTAAGATGAACCAGGTACATGTGACATGAGTCACAGACTAAATAAAAGACTGTATGAATGAATGAATGAATATTTAACATCATGAGTAACATATAAGTATTTGGAGAGGTCATTTTCACCTCTGATAGCCGCAGAGACCTTGCTATTTTCTTGCTTGTTAATTGTCTATCAGAGCTAATTATGACGTTCAGTTCTGTCCTCTGTTTTCTGATTAGAAGAAGGGTGTGTGTAGTATCTGGTATCTGTATCTCTGGCAGTCACAGGAGCATTTCTTTTCTGCATTCATCTGTAAGCCTGTCATGATAAATACTATAAATAATAATCTTTCACTTTGTACTAGTGGGAAACTTTTGTTATTTTTCTATTCTACGATAAGATTTGAGCTGTTGTGAGTCGAATACATATAACATCTATGATTAATTTTAGATACAAAGTAACTACTAAAATGTTTTTAACAATATTGTACATTTAGAATATGGTAGATCTTTGGGGGATAGTCTTTTAGTTTCAATATTATCGTTCATCATCTATATTTTCTTCAGCAATATATGACACTATGATTTGTAACTGTAACAGGTCCGTTCATCTGTGACACTTAATCTTTAATTACCTTATTTGACTTAATTATAACAGATCATGTAGGTCATATAGTGGCCCAGAATTGGACCTACTGTAACTAAAGGTCTCTGGTACAAAGCAGCACATTCATTTTTCAACTATAGGTGACTTTCAGCTATTTCCTATTTGCCATTACATTAAACAAGGCATTAAGCAATGTCTAGTTGTTACTATAACAGTTTGTTTCTATTTATAGAATAAAGAAGATGAGCTAAGAAAGGCTAACTCTGAAGGTAACATGTAAATTTTGGCCTAAATTAATAAATAAAATGAACAGTTGTGTACAGTATTAGAGGTATTAATTACATTTTATTTTACAATTTTGTCAATTTCTTGTCACTATGCAATTTGTACTGGTTTGTATTTTAATTAGGTAACTGCACATATCATTGTTCTGCAGGTGCAATTTTGGACAAACCTGATAGCCCCTCTTATGTTAAGCCAAGAACTATGTCCACCTCAGCAGGTAATATAAAGAAATAGTGGATTTAATGTAGTTGTAAAAAATAAACTACTACTACTTCTCCAAGTTTTATTTTAGTCTAAAAAGTGCATAAATATTTGCAGCTGAGCGAAGAGATCCTAAGAAAGCCCCTGACCCTGTGAGACCTTTGCTCCATCCCAAACCACCTGTCCCAGAGCGCCCCCTGTTGCCCAAACCTCCTGTGAGTGCGAAGCCCATTCTGCAAGTCCCAGCTACAGGAGGCACAGGCAAAATCAGATCCCTCTCTGAAGATGGCAAAGCAGTGGACACTCCAGCACAGGTAACAGTAATAAAAGTATTTGCTTGATAATTGGATTTTAGTGCACTGACCGGCACAAAAAGGAGCTCTGGCAATAGATAGGGTTGTCTGAATGTTGATGAGTAATATTATTGTTTTATGCCTTTAATTTAAAATATATCTTTATGTTTCCATTACAGTAATTTTCTTTTCTAGTTTAAACAGTATGTCTTCTTTAGATTGAAAACCAGGAGAGCACCAAGGGGCCACCTCCAGCCACACTTCCCAAGACAGAGCTGTGTTCTCCAGCTCTACGAAAGATTCCCAGCACAGTGGACCGCTCTGAAAAAGCACAGTCTATAACTGATGGTATAATAAATATTGCGATGGATTGTTAAGCCAATGCACATTTTTTATTATGATACAGAAGTTAAGGATGATTTCTATATTTTTCTTTAGGAAGTCTGCCTCAGCCAAGGCCACATTTAAAGCCGCCTACCCAACGCAGAGCAGTGTCTGTCCATGAGGATACACTGGCTATGACACAAGGTATCACTGTGGGCTTCACATACCTAGATCATCCCTGAAAATACTCATACTTGTGAATTTGTTATAAATGTATTGATGACAAAATCATTTTTTTTGTCTGCATATGACTGTCTCAAACTCAAACTTTTTCTTTAACTTAAAATTCTGGACACACAAAAATGCCATTATGTAATATGTATTATTGTGCAATTAATTGTTTTGAGAACTTATTTATTTTCTCCAGAGCTTAAGGCAGTACTTCAAAGGTCACCAATTCGTTTATGTGGCAACAAAGGAGAGCTCCCCACCTGCATTGAAGACAGCACAGCTGGAGAAGAAGCCCAAAGCCCACAAGATGGTACATTTTAATCTTTGCTTTTTGTTATTTTTAGTATTGCGCCTTTGCAAATATTGTTAAAAAGGCTAATCAGTTTTACTATGATAGAAGTATGATAAAAGTGCTCTGTACTTTAAGTGTGTAGTTTTGCAGTTTCTGTGTTGCCACCTCTCTTGGTGTAATGTAGGTGGAAGGAGAGGGTGTAAAAAAAGAACAGTGCAACGAAAAGAAACTATGTGATTCTTCTTTTCTGCCCTTTCAGGTTTTTAAATTCTTAGTTAGTCAGAGTCATTTTCCTCCTTTTCTAATGAGCAGTGACACTCAACAGGTTGTTTGCCAAAAACGTATTTTGTTGCAACTCTATTCATTTATCCAAATTTGGGGACTGGTATATACCTGCATCTGATCATGTTGCTGGTTCATTGCTTTTCTATGCCTTTAATATCTAATTATGAACCAATGTTTGTTTTTTGTTTGTTTTTTTGCTTTTTTCCTGCTATTTTAGAGGCAGAAAAGCAGGAATGTGAAAGACAACAAACCGGTGTTGGAGCTAAGCCCAAATTTCAAGAAAAAGAAGACTCAAGTTGTGTGTCCTCTGCAACTCAGGGCCAAAAAGAGAAATCCAAACTGCCGCACACACCGGTTAGCCCTCCACCACAAGACAAGAGCCCTACCCCTGCACTATCGAAGACTGCTGAAAAACTGCAAAAATCTCCACATTCGCAAGAAAAACTCTCAATCTTAGCTTCATCTGAAATCTCAAAAGGTGCTCATGTATCTCCAACATCGGATGCAAAGAAGAGTCCCAGCATGCCTATAGGAGAACGAGAAAGACAGGCTGAGGATGTTTCAAAACAGCATACATCAAATTCAGCTTCTGGTCTTTGAGTGTAAGTGAAGAACAGAAAGACTCAAGATGCGCTGTGGTACCATGCATGACCACAGGGAGGCGTCACAGGGTCCAACTTACAGTAAGTCCTCCCTGGCCACTGTGTCTTGCTGAAGTGTCCTTAAATCGGCACTAAAATCATGCAGGTTGGAAAGGGATAGATGTTGCAATGTTCTCTCAGAAAGTCTCAGGATTAAATATAAGCATAGTCTGAAAGGTGATACGAAATGGGGGAAACTCCGTATTCTAATATACAAGCCTGACTTTGGGGCAGCGGTCAGGCCATCAACTGACTTCCACTTTCTTGTTGGTCAATATCAGAGAGTTACAATACCACTATATTTTAAGACAACTTATTTATATAACTGTATGTGTGCATCACTGACTGCAAAAAGGACTAGAACAATAACGCACTTAGCAAGTTCTGTGTGAATTATTTCTCTGATTTAATCCTGTGCATTTTATGTCTGTGCCGTTAGCAGCTAGCAGTGTTTCCCCTTGGCCTTATTTAATACTTGATTTGGATTTATAGATTGGGTGATCATTCATATTTACGGAATAATATAAAAATTACATATTTTAATCCAATCTCTTAATAACAAACATTTTGGTATTCATGCAATATAATATCCTATTATTTATACATGAAGCTCCCAATACAGTTGAAAATTTTATATCTGCTTGGCGTCACCCTATTTATGCTTGATTTCAACGTTGGGAATGTGAAAACTACTAGATGCTACAATTTTTAAGTACTGTATTTCGAACCTCAATTTTATATTTGTTGGCTAGTTTCAAGAATTTCCATATTTCTATTGATCATATTTTCCAGTAGTTCAGTTCAGTGGTTCATCTTACCTCTGCCTCATTTACATTTTGGTATCTAGAGTGAATGTGCCAAAATACCCAACTTTTCAGTTTCATCAAAGGTCACCATAAAATAATTCTCTCTTACAGCATGCAGTGATTCACATACATTTGCCTTGTGTTTTAAGCCAAATGCCCTTCATGATGCAACCCTCTTCATACATCCAGGAGTGAAATAGGCACAAAGGAGGCTGCACAATATCAAATGTAATATTTAGGGTTTGGTCAGGACCAAGAGACGAGACTGAGGTTATGAATTTCAGAGTGTAAGTGTGGCCGATGGTTCAGGACAGCACAAACTGTAATAACTGACATCAGAAGAGTTTGTTTGCCTTAGCAGATGAGTGAGGAATTATTAGTAATATTTTGGATACTATAAGTGAGACATTTTGCAAACAGTTTTTTTTTTCTCATTTGACTTGATTATTTTATTGTATTTTACTTGAATTTATGGTTTCCTTGAACTTTCAAATGTCTGCATGTTTCTGCAAAATTTCTGTGAAAGCACATTCAAATCCATGCACCTCAGTTGGTAGTAGGGATGTAACAATATCCAAATTTCTCTGTATGATCGATATTCATGCTATGCATCTCTCACAGTACTAAATTTATAGCGATATTTTGTAGGCTAACAAAATTGTGAATATACTACTTGCCTTGACACGCCTTTGGTTCTGTCATAAACCAAAGAATTAAAATTTAAAAGTGTTTAATAACTTCAATTTCGTCATGTAAATTGGACAGAAACAGAGTAAAGCATTACTGTATATGCTCCCTCTGTTTCTTTTAGCTCTTGCTGCACCATAAAAATGAATTTAAGCAAAGAGACTTGAGATGCAATATATTGTGATGGCCCACGATATTATTGAGAGACTTTTGACGATACGATATCACAATATTTCGGCTATTGTTACATCCCTAGTCGGTAGCACTCCAAATCAAATAAGAGCAAATCAGAACAATATTTATTTTAACTGGAGGCATAAACTATATATGAGAGAATACAGTGTGAATATGTCTTCAGTCTATGACACTCTCAGGTTGTGGTTGTGTGAAATGTATGGGTTTTGTAAGACCTCTGTTGTTGAGCCATTTTGAGAGCTAACCCTCCGTGTCATCTTGAAGGAGATTTTTTTTTCTACTGTCGTCATGTTTATCCTTGCCTTGCACGCACAAAATCTGTACAGACAGACACTACGTTATGAGCAGAGTTCAAATCTATAACTGTACATGTTTCAAATATTAAATTCTCTTGTCATAGTCCAGTGTTGGTTTCTTTGTATATTTTTAATAGTCATTATGAAGGAAAAAAGTTCCATACATACGTTATTTATTTATTACTGTAACACATTTATAAGATTACAGAGAAGTGACAAAGTTAGTTCATTAAAATATTGATATCTATTGTCTTGGAAACATAATGTAACTTTCACTGTGTAGTAAAAGAATAATATAAGTTTTTGACATTTTCCATAAGACAAACAAATAACAAACCTGGAACCCTGTAAAACCATTTTTCCTGATTTGCATCCATCTTGATTTTGAGTCTATGGATGCAGTAGACAAGTGCAGCATCTGACAGTACACAATAATATTTTACCTTTATAATTAGTACAATTTTAGTGTTTTAAAACAAGAATTGCACAGACAGATAGATAGGGTGAGTGCAACATAAAACCTATATATTCTTCTCAGTTTTAAGATGCTTGTTCTATGCCTCATCTTCATCTGAATTGTCTTGATTTTCTGGTTGTAACACAGGGTTGTTAGCCAGTCTGTGCAAATCCTCTGCGGTCAGTTCTTTCATATTCCCATCCATATCAAGCTGCATTGGCTGAATTACACTGGACCTAAAATCAATGTAATCAAATAAAACGTATAACTTTTCAAATTGTGCATAACATATGAAAAATGTGCCATGACAAACTACAGAAATGTGTATAATTTATCACCAACCTGGACAGTTTGTCAAACATTTTGACCAGTTTCATCGCTTCATATTCCTTCTGCTCCTCTGTCATTCCCTCCATTGGATCAGGCCTGTCCTCCTCCACCACACCTGTGATTGGGTTTATACTGCAAGCAGGATGCAAAAGATAAATTCATGGTTTGAGAAATTTCATTGGTCTAAATAATTTGCTCAACAATTCAAAATATTTAAATTTTTAAATTGCCCCACCTTTATGTTTTTCCCCTTGTAAACTAAAAAAGCAGCTGTTTTAGCGATGCATATGGCTCTGTTTTATAATAACTCTTGTCCACCTTTTTACTAGTTCTCAACTCTGAAAACTAGGCCTGTCACGATGCAAAATTTTGAACCATAAAATATTGTGATAAACAATAATACTGAATCTGCTGACACAATAATCAAGCAAGGTAATTCCAGGAAAAGCATTTTTAAATAAACTGTACTGTTAAAAGGCATTACCTGTAGCAGAACGAATCAATTATTAGTTACATATTCAACCCTCTATAACTCAAACCTTATTGCATTACAAAAAAAAACGAAAAAAAAAACCTCCCTAGTAGTGAAAAGAAAATGTATATAAATATTGAGGCCCAAATATATAGATCTCCAGCTTTCATGTCTTGAACAATAAGTCAATATAGTAATTATCGTGACAGGCCGATTGAAGACTGCATAATTTGTTACCCCAATAACAGTTACCATGGAGTGAGAGCCTTTGCTGTGTTTTTATTGTGGGTTTTCTTGAGTGGTGAAGTGCACTTTATTTACCGCGCCTTGAACTCCTTGTACTCTTCTGTCTCTGAGTCTTCATCTTCAGAGTAAATGCCAGAGTCCCGGCCCCCCCTCAGCAGTCCTCTGGCAGCCAATAGTCCCGCTGCGTTGCCATATCCAGTGTACTTAATGAACCTGGAGACTGGAGGAACACATTCAACAGACACATAACTTCAGCAAAAGGTCACTACTTTCATGATGATGACATGATGAACACAAGAATAATGTTTGGATGAAACCCTTACCACTTTCTTTGCAGAGCACAAAGAGGAACTCAGCTGCACAGTCTTTGACGTCAGTGTCAATGTGAGTCATGAGTCGGACCAGTTTATTCCTCAGAGTGGTGCCCACCTCTGGTTTGTTCATCACGTCGCGCAGTGGAGGCAGCACCTGGCCCACACAAACCACAATCCTCTTACATGAGCAGTTAAGGTCTTATTGTTTTATTTGGTTCTACTTCTGACCTTAGAGCGTAGAAACTTTCTGGTTTCTCTGTGGATGCGGGAACTTTCGGTTAATAAGTTTAGAGAAGGAATAAGTGTTTCTTTCAGCTTGTGTCCCTAAAAGAGGAAAGAGAAAAGCATTGAAACATCCTCCAATGAAATGAAAAATCAAAACATATGAGACAAAACCGCCTTGCTTTTATTAATAATCCTAGTACCACAAGGGTTTCTCTCTATTATTGTTGTGTATTGTTAAGTAAATGATATATTTAGTTGATAAGACACACAAAATAGCACAAAATCTTACCCGGTCCACTCTCTTCTCCATAAACTCCAGCAGCATGTGGACAGCATCCATGTTGACTCCCATGTACTCAATGGAGTTGGGCTGTACCTTTGGCATCAGCAGTACATCCAGGCAGGGCAACGGCAGGTTACCCAGCAGGTTGATAGTGTGGCTATGGAAAGAGGAGGTTCAGTTAAATAGTATCAGCAATTACATTTTAATAGTAAAAAGAGGTTCCTTCACTTCTCCAGTATAACAGAATTGCCACTCTAAGGGCCTATATTACGCAATTTTCTGGTCTATGTTATAATGTTGTTTCCTCATTACAAACATAACTGAAATTGTTTTTTGTTTCATTCACACATGTTTAACAAAGAAACCCTGCATATTTTGAGTTCTTCTCTGATTGTCTTGAGCTTTGGGTTTGGACAGACTAATAAATTTAAGTAAAGTATGTAAAATAATATAAAGGATAATATAAAGGATTACTCAAACATGTGTGAATGGAAAAAAAAAACACAACTCCAGGCATGTTTATGATGAGGTAATAGCATTCTAACATGGCTAAAAACTCACAAGAATCAAATTTTCATAATATAGGATCTTAAAATGTTTTATGTAGTGTGCCATCCTCTTATAATGTATTATATACTATTCCTGTTACTACTCTTATTTTGGTTTATAACAATGTATTTCAACATTTGTTATGAATGAACTGTACCTGTGGAACTCCTCTGTGAGTTGTTCACTTTCAGTGCGGCTCATTAGACAGTGTCTTAGGATTGCTCCCAAATGTCTATACTCAGCAGCTTCCTCCTTAACACATACAAACCACAATCATACTGAGCACTGAGTATTTTATAACAACTCACAAAACATTAGTCTAACATCATTACCTCATCCACCTTGCGCTTTGCTGTGTCAAAAGTAACATTGAATAGGATTTTGAGTATTTCCATGGCTAGTTCTATCTGCTGCTGAGAGAGAGGTGGCAGGTCCTCTGATGGTACACCTTCACAGTCCTTCCTAGCGGTTTCCAGAGAATCAGGCCAGGACAGGTCCAGAGTAGCATCCAGTTGGTTCCCCAGCAGGCTAACTCCATGGAGCTCCTTGGCTAGCTGTGCTCGGACATCCACTCTCAGAGCAGTCAGCTGGAAGGTGAGTCGCAGATCAAAAAAGCGTACCTGGAAAACAAACGAAAGAATAAAAATGTATAGATACTGTACAAAGTAACTCAAGAAACTCAAGTGAATACTTGATTCAGGAGAGCGTAACGCAGCTTCTGATGATTCTAAATTTTGTACTTACTTTGGTAGAATAATACCTGTTGTAAATACAAACTATAGTTTTACACCCATCAAGAAAGAATTTGTGAAGAAAAGTTGAAAAATTATTTCGAACCAGGAAGTACAATTTTAAACCCCAAAAAACTGCGAGATTGGGAAAAGAAAAGTCAACTCTTAAGTCAGATCTTAAATATAAAGATCTTAACTGTCTTTTAGTGAAATTAGTTGTCCAACATATCAAATGTGCTTTAATCTAAAAATTACCATCAGCAGTTATTAACTTAATTGTACAACTATTCAACTACTTATTTATTATAATTTATTTATTTAGTTACCTCATATGTCCAGGTGGGATCCCGGCACTGTTTTAACCTTTCAGCCACACCTTTGATCAGCTGTAGCTCTGCAGCCACCACCTAACAAAATATAGGCTAGATGTTACCACCAAAATAGACCAAACTTCACATGATTATAGTGTTTCTGACCTGAGCTGTCTCATTGTACAGTACAATGTTGCAGATAGTCTTCAGTGCCTCCACAATCACCTCCAAGTCAGGATTTTCAGAATGTGGGCAGGTTTCCTCACCTTAAATATTGAAATAGTAAATCTTCCTGTATATGTTTTTTAGTTTTAAAGGGTCCATATTATGCTATTTTCTGATCTGTTATAATGTTGTTTCCGCATCAAAACCATATGTGGAGTTGGAGTTCTTCTCTGAAACAGAAAATACTCTGTTCCATCTTGTGATGTCATGTGGTAATACAGGAAGTGCTCCACTGTGTTTTTACTCCATACACTTTCACGAATCATTAGTTTTCAACACTGGCATTTCCCATCTCTAATGA